ATCACGGTGGAGGACCTGAGGCGCGTCGTGCAGGACATTGGGCAGAACATCGAGGAGAACGAGCTGAGCGCCATGATCCGCGAGTTCGACTCGGACGGCAAGGGCGGCGTCAACGAGGACGAGTTTGTACGCATAATGATGCGCAACCGGGCTTAGCAATCGCACTCGACTCCCCTTTTGCTTACTTGGTGCTCGATATATCAAACATCTGGGACCTCGTCTATTTTGGTTGGGAGCCTTGGTACTTGAATGACTGTTGCATTTCTGCCTTTCGTCTTTTATTCATGTTATTTTCTGTCCGTCCCCAGTCGTTCAAGCAAGCATCTGACGCCCGCTGCAAGCCCTCGGAATTGGCGCCTGACTCACACGCAGGGAGCACTACTGCCTAGAACCGTCGCTATACTGTATATCAGCACAGCAGCACAGCAACGACGGTAGCGGACAAAAAAAAAAACCCTTGCTGCCAGACCAGTCGCCCATCCCACACTCATCCCCGGGAGCAAACAGCAAATACAACGAAAGACCACTGCCAGACACGACAGTTGAGCTCGATGGCCACCGCAGCCCCAACGCGGCAGGGCCTGCTGGCCGAGGTGCCCGAAGATGTGCTCTTCAGCATCCTGGCCCACCTCGAGACGGCACGCGACATGGCCAGCCTGGCAGGGACATGCACGAGGCTGGCGCGCCTCGTCTGGGACAACGGCTGGCGCATCTTTGCCCGCACGCGCTTCCCGTCGCTGGGGGTGCCGCAGGAGCGCACGCTGAGGAACCCCGAGCTGACGTGGGCCATGCTGTCCGAGTCCCTGGCCTGGCAGAGTCGCTGCTGGGACCGGCGCTCGCTCACACTCACGGCCACCACGCAGCGCCGCCAGCCTCGGGGCCACCAGCACCAGAACCGCTGCCCGAGCGTCGTCGACGCGCGCTTCGACCTCGACTCCCGGTCCGAGCTACTCGTCTGGAGCGAGGGCGAGAGCTTCTGCGCCCGCCGCCGCGAGATCGTCGACGACGGCTGGACGGAGACCCATCACTTCAGCCGCTTCACGGGGGGCATGCACGGCTTCCAGGCCGGCGGGGACGACGTCATGCAGCTGTCCATCGTCGACAAGGTCCGGGGCGCCCCTGGCCGCCAGGGCGTCCTCTCGCTGAGGGCTAGCGGGCGGCTGGACCTCCTGGCGGCCGAGCACGACGGCTTCGGCACGCTGCTGGCCAGCTTCGACCCAAAGTTCGCCACGGGCGGCAGGGGGGCGGCCCCGGAGCAGTCCTCGCTCGTCTCCATGGACGTATCGCACAAGGGGTCCATCGCCGCCTGCAACAGAGACAGCCTATTCCTCTACCACCTTCCCCAGGACCGGGACCAGCCGCCAGAGGTCGGCCCGTACCTGGCCTGCCGGCTAAAGGAGCTCCTGCTGGACAGGACCGACACAACGCACCTCGGCGGGGTCAAGTGGATCGGTAACGACGACACGCTCGCGCTCGGCGTCAAGGGCCAGTACACGTCGCAGCTGCAGTACCTCCAGCTGACGCCAACGGGCGCCGTGCAGGTCCACCGCGCCGTCGAGCACCCCGGGGCGGGCGCCGGGTCGCTGCGGCGGCAGATCATCGCGTCCTCCATCACGCCCGTCTACCCACCGTCGTCGGCCGGCCAGGCAGCTGGGCGTCCGCTCGTGCTGGCGGCCTACTCGGACGGCACGGTGCGGCTGCAGGACCTGCGCTCGCCCACACCCTGGGACGCCGTGTACGAGGACAACGTGAACCCGGGCTCGGCCGTCGAGCACGTGCTCGCCTGGGGCGGCGAGCGCTTCGTGGGCGGCGGCTCGGCCGACGCCGTCCTGCGCCTCTTCGACCTGCGCTGGCCCAGGCCCTACCACCACCAGCGCGCCCTGCCCTGCCGCTCCGCCCTGCCCTACCCGACACCGCCCCAGCCCTTTGCGAGCCCGCGCCGCCGCCGCCGCCTGCTGCTTGAGGACCCAGCCCGCGTCACCCGCTGCGACGGCGCCGCCGGCGTCGAGTGTACGTGGCACCGCCTGTCGTGCGACCTCTACCAGCGGCCCAACTGCAACCTCTACTACCACCACCGCCGCGACCGCGGTGGCGCCAGGCCCGCCGCCGCCGCCCCCGACCCGCCCAGCTGCGTCCGCTCGCTGGCCAAGGGGTCCGACCTGAGCCCGCACTTCTTCGTCGGCGTGCCCGGCGGCTTCCTCGAGGCCCGCCTGGGCTCGGGCGGCAGGGACGGCGGCGGTGGCGGCGACCCGCACCTGTCGTTTGAGCTCCTCGACCTGCCCGCGGACGGCGAGGACGGCGAAAGCGGCGGCGGCGGCGGCGGCGGCGACGGCAACAACAACAACAACAACAACAACAACAACAACAACAGCAGCAGCAGTGGGTACGAGACGGCAGAGCTAACGACTTTCGTCATGGAGACGGGCGACGGGCTGTCGGTGCCGCACAACGACAGGACCATCGCGCTGCCGCCCTTCCGCCCGGACGCCAGGCGGCGGGCCAAGAAGGGCCACGTGCCGCAGGAGCTGCAGGACAGCCACCGCCTGGACCCCCGCTACCACCACGCCGCCGACTTTGGTCAGTTCCTGACCTGGAACGGCTCGTACGGGACCGTGGCCGAGTAAAGGAAGATGGTGGTTGATGCTCTGATACACGAGGAAACCTCCCGTGATGCTTGGCTTCTCTAATACAGTTTATATATATTTTATACATTGCGAAGTGGGGTTGCTGTAACGTAGGTTGCGGTATATATCTACATAGTAAAAGCAGAACGAACCCTCACCATTTCTGTATCCTGTGTGCTCTTCTCCCACCCATCTGCGTCCTTTTCATGGTCATCACGATGCCGGTAAAAAGCAGAAAATAGAGCGCCCAACTAGGAACCAATGAGCAATCCACGCCAAGGCAAACAAACACGTGTGCCGTTTCTCTCACGCCTTCGCCCCATCATCTCGCTTCCTGCCTCTTCCTCCCCGACTCCCCGGTTGTCTGTTGCTCTCGCCGCCCTGGCGTTCGCCGCCGCCGGACTTGCCAGCATCCTCCGGGGCGGATACCGCAGTAGTCGTCGCGCCGCTGCTGCCACGACCCCTGGCGGACGGCCGTCCGCGCCGGGCCCCGCGCCCGCCTCGACCGGCTCTGTTGCCGCCGGCGCCTCCCTCGGCGGGGCCGTTGCCGTCATCGACCGTATTCCTGCCAGCGCCGCTGGGGTTCGTGTCCGCCGCAGGGGCGGGCTGGTTGGCATTGTTATTATAGCCGTCACCGCCGCTCCTGCCGTTGATCCCCTTACGGCGTCCCCCGGTCCCCGCCCTGCCGCCCGTGGCCGCAGCCGCCGCCCTGGCCGCCGCGCGCTCCTCCTTGGCGGCCCTCCGGCGCTCCTCGTCCTGCGTGCGCCGGCTCTCCTGGTCCCACCACTCCTGGAACGCCTGCTCCTGCTGGATCTCCTGCAGGCTGCGCTTGGCGACGGCCTCGCGCACCAGCTCCTGCTCGCGCCGCTGCTGCCCAATGATGTCGGCCATGCTGAGGCCCAGCGTCGGCTCCGACTTGGCCGCTGGCGACAGGTACGACTTCGAGTGCGGCATTAGCTCGTGGCGGGGCGAGGCCGAAGCCGCACCCGGCGCCCGCGACTGGCCTGCGAACCGCGTGTCGGGGGACGCCGTGCGCCTGTGCATCGATACTGACCCCGCTGTCGACTCGACCGCCACGAGCGGCTTGACCACGGCCGGCATAGCAGCCGGTGCAGGCGCTGTGGCTGGGGACGAAGCTGGCGTCTGGCCGGCGCTCGATAAGGCATCCTTAAGGTTGATTTTTGTTGTCGCCGGCGTGGGCTTCCAGGGCGAAGGGTTACCAGTTGCAGGCTTCTTGGCGGCCGTCTCCCATGTGACGCCTGCTTTGAGCTGGCTTGCAGCCGCCGCCTCCTGCGCGGCAACTTGTTGCTGCTTTTTCTCCCTTTGCGATGGCTTCTGCTTTTTCGACTGTGGCGGCGTCGAGGCCTTGAGGCCATCTTCCTTCAGCTTCTGTGCAGCCAGGCCTGCCGACAGGGCAGACGGCGTCCTTGAAGAGGCCTCGCTCATGATTTCACGCAGGTCGAGCTTGGGCATCGCGAGCGGCTTCGCCTGCCAGGGGCCCCCCGAGTTGGGCAAGAGAGTTGCGCTCTCCGTAGGGCTTGCTGAGAAGTCAGGAGCAGTCCCAGATAATCCTGCAGGGGTGGGGTTTGACCTGGGCAGCAGCTTCTGCTCTTCCCCCGTGACTCTTGAACCTCCCTGCGTGCGTAGCTTTGCAAGGGGTGCTGTCGGGCCGTCATCCTTGTCATCCTCCATCTCGAACATCAAATCCACCGCAGACGCCTTGGGGCGGATAACAGGACTGAAAGGCTCGTTACGCGCACCAATCTTTTTTCGCGCCCGGTCTGGCGTGGTTATCGCGGCGGCGGCGGCAGGGGTCGAGTCATCCAAGCTTCCGGCTCTGCCCTTGTAGGATGATGATAGCTTTTTCTCGTCGTCCCTCTGGCTGGCTTTCCAAACCATTTCCCTCACCCGCCTCTGCCTCTCCTCCTCCATGTCTTGCATTAGCTCAGGGTGCAGCTCGTGGAGGCCCGCCTCTATGTGCCTTGACTTGACCGAGTTCTCCGCTTGGTTTTCCTTGACCACATCGTCCAGGTCAACAAGCAGATCCTCCTCTAGGTCATCAAGCATGTGGTTCTCCAGCATGGTCTCTACCTGCATGCACAGGTATTCGAGACCCGCATCCTTGAACATGGTGACTGAGCACGGACTGATCTCGTTCAAGAGGTGCGCAATGTTCCGGGTGTTGACGAAACGGCCCATCACCTTTTGGCAGATCTGCGACAGCCGATCCAGCATCAACTCATTTGCAATGGCCAGCACGTCCAGTACAAGGCCGGTGAATTCCTCAAAACTGGGCGCCACCGTGGCGTCAAACAGCTCCTCGCCCGCGTCGGTGTACAGATATCGCATCACATAGCTGAACGGCTCTGGCTCGAAGTGCTTCATATCGATTGGTATCCTCTGCGGCCCGCCTGGTGCGGTATCCAGGCGCGATGCTAGCCACATCCCCGCCGAGCGCCCCCTGAAGAGGCCGTCAAAATAGGGGCAGCGTTGGCACAGCAGCGAGCTGTGGGCGGCAGTTTCTCCCCCGTCGAGCTCGACAACGACGTCGGCGTCCTGGAAGAATACAGGGTCCTTCATTGCTGACTCCAGATCGGCCGTCAGAGTACATGTCGGATCGCTCTGGAGTCGTGCTGCGGCCTCAAGGCTCGACATGCACAGTCTTGCAGCCACTTTCATGGCCTCAACGCGGAGCTGTCGAGACGCCTGCGTCAAGGTTGGCGACGGCTGCCGGATGTTCCAGGGAGGGACTGCACGGCTTGTGTAGGCCCAGACGACCACGTTGAGGACAGTCAAGACATCGGTTGCTTCTATAGTGACAAGCATCTTGTCATCGGCGAACTCGACGGTAAGACCTGCAGACGTGTAGGACCCCTGAGAGCGGCACCTGGCCAGCGCGTCACGAATGGCCAAGCTCCTCGCACACATGACCCAGCCGTGGACCGGTATCTTGATGTCGGGGTGGGAGGATGAGCAGACAAGAGTATCTCGCTCGACTTCTCCGCTCGAACCGGCCAAGAATTGCTGCGTATCAGAGGCTAGATCGGTCGAATAAAGCATCGAGGTGATAGCATGCCTAAGTTGACACGTCATAGAATCTTCCTTGGCAAGATCAAGCAGCCCTAGGAGCGGCTTCCCGCCCGGCCTCGGGCTCGACGTGGCGAAGCCCCGCAGCGGCAGGAGCGCGGAAATATCATCTCGCATCGACTGCCCATCAACTTTGATCTGTTTCTTCATAACCTCCGAGTCCTTGCGAACGGCGGCAAAGGCGCCTGATGGGGAAGTGCGCACAGTCACAATCTTGGTGATGTAAGGGATGCGCTGGAATTTGAAGTCCTTGCGTCGGGTAAGCTCCGAGCCCGCTGTGACGTACGCATCCTTTGCCGTGGCCCGCCGCACCCGTCGCCACACGGCCCCGGATTCGGTCGCGATTATGACGGAACCATGATCACCGACGCCGACAGACTTGACGCCGTCTTTTCTGGCCCGCCAGATGCATTGCGACCGACCTACTGCGCCCCTGATCTTGGATGGGTTCGTCGTCGAGGCGGAGGAACTTGCGTCGACGTCATGGTTCAGCCCCATGATGAAGAGATCACCACGACCCGTAACAGCGGCAATTGTGTCGCCGCCAGAATCGATGTAGCAGATCTTGCGACCTCTGTGGTGGCGGTCCTGACCGCGCACTCCCCGATGGATGCGCGAGTCCGCAAAGGGGTCGATGGGCGGGAACTTCACCCAATTATAGCCGTAGCTCGTGAAAACGCAAACCGTGTGGTTTGCCAGCAGAATCGTGGTGGCCTTGTCGATAGCCGAGGCCATGACTATCGGTGCCGAGAACAGCGAGGCGGCGACTTTCCGCGGCGTTGACTGGATCTCGAGGGACCTCGAGTCCGCGTCCATCAGAGCCAGCTGGCCCATGTTTTTGCCCCAGCAGTACAGAGAGTTGCCGGTGTGAGCGACAGAGTGGATGGCGGACGCGGCCACGCCAATGACCACTTCCTTCTTCAGGACTCCAAACACCTGCCGAGGGAACAGGCCCATGGGCTCCTCGTCCTTCTTGGTCGGAGGTGGCAGCGCGTAGCCGAGTTGGGAGTACGTGTTTGAGCCCCAGGTCCAAAGCTCGCCAGTGCTCGTGACGGCTATAGAGTGATCCTGCCCGAGAGCCACTTGCGCGACCTGTCGATCTGCGAGGCCACCCTGGACGGGCACGAAGGTGAATCGGACCCGCTGGTCATCACTCAAACCTAGCCGCCCACCACGACCAATGCCACAGATGTACAGGTTCGACACGGGGTCCGTGGTCACGATGGCGCTATGGAACTTGGAGAGAACCACATCGCGGACTTCGAGTGGTCGCGTCAGAACCATAGCCGGCAGTTCCTCGAGCTTGAGGGAGCCTGGGTGTTCCAGCCCAGCCCCGTCAAGATTATCGGCGTGAAAGGCGTGGAAGAGATGGTCCGGGCGACGGAGGTGTACTCGCTCGGGATACTGCCGATCAGACTCGTCGCCAACGCCGAGCGACATGTTCTTGTTGCTCCCGAACATGAAGAGCTCGTCGCCGTCCACGAGGTCTTGTAGGCCACCAATGCTCCTAGGAACAGAGTCAGAACACATGCGTGTTTAAAGGGGAGAGTGCCGCGTGTAGGATAATGATATGTCAGAATAAAGGGAAATAAGAATAGCAAAATCGGCAGCGGCGGCGAGTGGCACTTGAGAGTGGCTACTAACGTGGCGTCTTGAACGGACAGCGACTCCTCACTGTCAGATCCCCAATCTTCGGATGAAGGGGACCCCAGCACGTTGCGATGGATGCTGCGTTCCCCGATGGTGCTCGCGAACAGGTCGAAGGGGCTGTTGCCCTCGTGGTCCTTGGTCTTGATGAGCTGGCCGATGCGCGAGAGGGAAGCGCCGCCAAAGACCCCCTCGGTGAGGTCCTTGCGCTCCCTGTCCAAGAGCAGCCGCGCGACGGAGATGTTGCCGGCGTACAGCGCGCGGTGGAGGGCGTTCCAGCCACTCTCGTTGTCCTGGGCGTAGATGTCCAGCGCCGGGTGCTCGAGCAGGGCGCGCACGAAGGCGACGGCGTTGGGCGAGGCGGACGAGGCGGCGCGCAGCAGCAGCGTGAGGCCGGCGTGGTCGCGGCTGTTGATCTCGGCCTTGCCCATGGCGACCCCGCCCGCGCCTCCGCCGCCGCCTCCCGCGGCGAGGAGGGCCGAGGACTTGCGCATTTTGCCGGCAGGGGCGCGGGCGGGCGAGGTGCCGACGGCGCCGGGGCTCCCCGCAGCGGCGGCGCTGGCGACGCCTCCAAGACCCGCGCCAGAGCTGCCGCCTATGCTGGGCCCGCGGGAAGTGCTGGGTACACCGTAGCCCAGGGCGGGGGCCAACAGGCGGCGGAAGCGGTCGACATCGTCTTGCCAGTAGGACCTCCAAAGTAGGTGACTCATGGGTGTCGGGGCGTGTTTAGTGCTGCGTCCGCTCCCGACACTTCAGGTTTGCGCCTCGCTGTGAGCCTCGAGCGGACCACGGCGTGTTTAAAGGCGCAAAGCTGGAGAAGCGGCGGGAAAGGGACGCGGGCCTATCGAAGACGGCCGGCTGCTGCTGTGGCGGCACAACAAGGGTTTGTCGTCCGGTCGGGGTTCGGCTGGGCGCACGTCAACTGCGGATTGCACGGCTTAACGGTGGTCGGGGTTTGATGGCCTCACAGGTTTGTCGCGTCGGTATGGGCTGGCAGGTGGGGAGGGGGGGAGGGGTCAAGGTTGTCGTGTCGAGAGAAGCAGCGTCAACAGAAGCGATGTTGAGGGCGTTGGCAGAGTCGAGGGGAATACCTGGCCTGAAAGTGTGCGTGCGTGTGCCTCTGGTGTGTGTTCTCTGTGCCCGCATCACTGGACCTCCCGCGTTAGGAAGGAAGCTTCCTCGCATTTGATTCCATGTCATCCATGTCATCCATGCACCACAGGCGGGCACCCCCCTGTGCGCTGCCGCCGCCACTGGCACCCCAGACTCGAGGCTTGGTGGCGATTCGGCCAATCAATCAGCGCACCTCCTCAGCGTGCGCCAAGCCAACAAAAGCTCCCCCACGTTCTGGCCCACCACAGGAACAATCCACCCAGGGCAATGGAACACTGAAATCATGTTGCCTAGCAGATACCTACTACTATTCACATATATCGCACCCAAGATATTTCCTTAAACAGTTTTCCCCTTATTTTTTTGCGCTCTTTTGTTCACTCCATTCGCTCCACCAAGTTGTGGTCCTGGGCAAACAGCAATCGAGTCTCGTTGAACGTCGACCCTCGATCACCAACTGCTTCCCTTGACTTGTCAGCCCACACAATACAACTTGCCCGGGGTGAAACGTGATCCCTTGTTCGCAATTCGAGGGAAGCAGAGGGCAAAAAAGACATAGAAAATAACAAGACAGAGGACACGAGGAGAGTTTTGCATACTATCGACGCCGCTTTGCGTGGGATATCCGGCTGGCACTTTTCAGCACCTACACCTACCTAGGTGCTGGAAGTCCTGCCGGGTGGATTTGATATAAACAGAGTAGGAGAGGTGCATAAATTTGACAGGCATAATCGGCAGAGGCAGATACTTGGTTCCAGAGCAGGCATCAAAAACGAACTGAAGAAGACAACCGACACAAGAAAGAAAATACTGATCACGCACGGGAATAATCAGACAAGCGTCGAACGAGGGACAAAGAAGGAGATGGACCGCTATTAATCCTTGGACAAAAAGGAAAGACAACCAGAAGCCCCGTCAATCAAGTCATGCCTGCGTCTTGCGGGACAAATGAGAGATGGAGCTAAAGCAGCGCCAGCTAGAGAACACACTGAAAAGACAACCGAGTCAACTGACCGACCTGCTTCATACGAAATGCACCTAAACGCCAACTCAAGACATGTGCCATTGGCGGCCAGGGCCAAGAACGCTTGACATTTGAGTAGAGAAAGGAGATCAGTTAAAGAGAAAGAAAAAACACAGTATGGAAGACAATAGATGCAGTCTCGATATCTGTCATCCCGTCAACGCCTCGCTTGGTAAAGGTCAAGATTTTTGTGTTGGGGAAAGAGCGGATAAATGACAAAGACAATTAACATGGGTAACGTCGAAGGCTCCGGGTGGTCTGTGGTGCGCGGCTAGCAGAAGCGGCCATTATGTCACCTCTTTTTTTCTTTTTCCTTGGTTTTTATTTTCCCCTTCGTTGTCTCTGCACCCCTTCGGCTTTTTGTGTTGCCCCTTTTTCACTTTTTTTTTTTTTTTGCATGCGTTCTCAGTTCCCTGGTTCCGCGATCGTTTCTTGTTGCCTGCATTGGATACAGAACGGACCGGAATCAATCGGTGCTGGTTCAAAAGAAAGTTGTTGGTTCCTCTCTCCTCGGTGGCGCCTTGACGGGCGGCCGCGGTGTTGGCTCGTTGCTGATAGTGCCAGAGCCCTGCTGGGTCGTTGGCCGAGGAGTCTCGTCATACCCAACCACAGTCGCGTTGTCTTCCGAAGAACCGCCACACTGGTCTGGGGGCGTATGTATCACCGTCGTGTCGCCCTCTTCGTCGTAGTCTTGCTCCATATGGGTATCGGGGAGACCGTCGCTTCTCTTGGCCGACTTCTCGGGTGTGCCGGCGTGCACAACGCTATCGTGGCTGTTGGCCCGCATCATTTCAATTCCAAGTTTGGAAGATGGCAAGATGGACTTGCTCCGGAAATGCTGCCGGCCCTGGCCGCCTCCGGACTGCGATCCGTTCCCATTGTTAGGCACGGGTAAGCGGCCAAGCCCCAGTTCGTCGTCCTCGTCGTCCGCCGAGTCGACTGATCCCTCGCTGCGTCGTTTTTCGCAGGCATCCCGTTTCGCCCTCAGTTTCTCTAGCGACAGTTGCTTGACCGGCCCAATGGTGCCGGCATTCGCCCGCGCCTGGTCCGTCTTCGCCGGCTTCACCGGGGAGGTTTCTTGTACCACCAGCTGTATAGGAGGGTTTGTGGGCTCAGGAGAGCTGAGCGGAGGCTGCTCTTGCTGGGTGATTCCCAGTCCCGTGTCCTCCCAATCTCCCGTCGTTTTTCGACTCATACCGACGGCTATGTCATCCGTCGTGACCGACTCGGAATCGCCGAACAGACTGGAGCTGATTGAATCCTCACGGCTCGAGCCTCGGAAGCTGCTTCCTGTCCGATGAGCATAGATGGACGAGCCCGAGGTCGGGCTGTCCTCCAAGCGAAGACTCTCCTGCCTCAAGCCCGACGGTGTAGGATGCGCAAGTGGGAGGGAGAGCGAATGAGGCTGGTTGCCCGCCGGTGGCTTCCACTGGCACAGGTTGCCGAGAACCTCGGTCAGTTTAGACGAGCTGATGGGCTTGTCGATGAGAGAGTCAAAGTAGTGAGGCGCCTGCAGCTCCTTGAGGTAGGCCGTGATGGCCACAATGGGCGTGTGCGAGTTTGCGTTCTTGGTCTCGCGAATCATCCGGGCAACGTCGGCACCACTAATCTGAGGCATCCTGAACTCCATAAAGATGATATCGAACTTGATATCGCTCATCGAATACCGGACGGCTTCCGAGCCGTTTGTTGCCGAGATTGTCCGGCAACGGAGCTTCTCGAGCAACTTCTCCATGATCATGCGGGAAACAGGATGGTCCTCGCAAATGAGCACGTCGAGCGGCCGGGAAACTGGCCCATCCAGCGTGATCTGTGACAAGCGTCTGGAGCTCTGGCGCCGCCTCTGTACGCGGAGGAGCGCATTTACCTTCTCCCCTTCGTTGTCGGACGAGGATGGCGACATATCGAATACCTGGCTACGGCGATTGCGATGATGCGCTAGCATGTCCGATGCGACCGGACTGCCCTCCTGCGAGCCCACAGTCAGAGATCTGGAGCGGCTAACCGAAGAGCCACCGCCTTGGCGGCCGGGGGTCGTCACGACCTTCGCCGGCGAGAGAGGAAGGGGTGATGGAGGCGCCCGGCCCTTGACAGGGGACACGGCAGCTACCGTCGTGGCCGCTTTTTGCAGGCTTGGCGGCACGCGGGGAACGTCAAAGAAGCTTCCCGGCTGCAGGTTACTAGAAGCCGGCTGGGATAGACTGGATGAGTTGCTAGACGCCTTGCGTCGGCCTTCGGAGCCCTGGCCGGCAACGAACGAAACCAGCAAGGGAGACGACGGCTGCGAGGCTCGACTTGGAGACGAGTTGGCATGGCTCAATCCAGAAGGCGACTGCGGCCGCTGCGAGGCCTTGGCATTTGACATTGTCCTGTGCACTGGGATCGACAGCGCCGCCTCGAGGCCGCCCGGAGATGTGACACTGTTCATGCCACCCGGGCTGATGGCTGTTGGCTTGTGCGCAGCGAGGGCTTCGGCCCGAAGTTTTTGGATGACATCCTTGTTAGCCTTGTCGAGAACGGGCAGGTTCTTGAACGTAAAGCTCCCAAAGTCGTCGGTGGCGACAGGCTCGCTGAGGCGGCGGCTCTTGTGGTCTCGGACATGCGGAGGAATGTGGAGAGGCATCAGCCCGCGCTTGATCGAGTTGAACTGCGAGCGCACGCGTGACAACGCGTCGTGCGGCCGGTCAGGGTACTCAGTAGCTGGCACTGACGGCGGCGACGCTTGGTCTTCCATCTCCTCGGCGAACGATTGCAGGGTGGCCCCTCGAGAGTCGAAGTACTCGGTATCTTCGGGGTTCTCGGGCTGGGGCACGAACTGAGCCTCGTCTTGCAAGAGAGTATCCCAGCCCATTCCCTGGAACCACGCGTGGTTGCGAATCTCTTCCCCGCCCGACACGAACTTCTCATCCCGGTTGGAGCCAAGCCGCTCGCGGGGATCCATGCAGAGCAGCTTGTTGAGTATGTCTTTAGCGTCGCCCGAAACCTCATCCTCTATCTCATCAGGCCATTGGATCCTGCGCGCCAGAATGTTCTCAAACACGAGCTCGGGCTCAGGTGCGTGGAACGGAGGCATGCCATAGAGGAACTCGAACATGATGCAGCCAACAGACCACCAATCGCTCGTCTCGTCTTGCGGCTCGCCTTTGATGGTCTCGGGAGCAAGGTAGTCTGGCGTCCCAACAAACCGGCGGTTCTTGTCTTCAGGATCAAAAAGAGTCCAGTTTGGTGGTGGCATGCTCGACATCGGCGGCGTGCCCTTTCCAGGGTCCGTTCCGGTGCTTCCGTGCGTGGTTGTGTGGTGGAGGGAGGCAAAGTCAGGCGAGCCATGTGCCTCGCCCTCACTGCCTTCAGTCCGGGGGGACTGGACTGCCTGCGGGGGCACCGAGGCGTGCGTGTCGTTGAGTGAGAAGTTTCCTAGCATGTGCGTAAGCGCATCGCTACCGCCGCTATCGCTCCGGCGGCCAGACGTGCGACGAGACTCGTGCGCAGCTGCCGAGGACCCAAGAGAAAAGTAGGACGGCGGTCCCAGAACTGGCTCGTTAGGATTGATCTGCGGAGTGCTCCCAGGAGAGTGGGTTGGCGCATGGAGGTCGAGCGAGGTCGAACGCGAGGAGGTGATTGAGGCCGAACGAGCAAATGGCCCCTGCTTGAGAAGGTCGGGGGCCGGGTCGGTCGAGCCACTGTTCAAAGCACGCTTCTGACGACCAATAAGACCCATGCGGGAAAGACCAAAATCGGTTAGTTTTAGATGACCCTTTTGGTCGATCAGTAGGTTATCTGGCTTCAGATCTCTGTGAACAATACCCCGGCTGTGCAGGTGTTCAACGCCGAGAATAACCTCCCCGAGGTACTTTTTGACCCAGTCCTCCGGAAGCCCTCCAAGAATCTTGATCAGAGAGGCGCAGTCGCCACCGTTGAGGTACTCCATTACGAGGTAGAGGTAGTCCTTGCTCGAGAAAGTCCAATAGAGCTTGGCGACGAAATCACTCTCTCCTTGCCACATCATGATGGCGCGTTCTGCCTTGACGTTGGTGACCTGGTTTTTGGCAACCATGTCTGCCTTTTTCAGGACCTTGATGGCAAAGTACTCGCCCGTAGACTTCTTTTTGGAGAGATAAACGCTTCCGAAGGCACCCTTGCTGATGGGCTTGATGACCTCGAAATCCTTGATGGATGGTGGTACGGCACGGGCGAGTGGCGGTGCGTTTGCCCCGTGCAGGCGGGGCGATGGGGGTGGTTTACTTCCACCGCTTAAACTACCAAACCCTGCCGCGTCTAGCGACATTGCGGCTGAAGACTGTCGTCGGTGATGATGCATGGGAACTGCAGGCGAGGTGAACTCGCTCCGAGGCAGCATCGGAGATGACTCGGGCGACATGAGAGCATCGGACGGGAATGGCGGGCCACGGGGCTTGTGAATGCGCAGCGGAGACGATGGCTGCGTCGAGCGGGAGGGTGACTCCTGTCGACGAGGAGACGATGCGCCTGGAAGTATCAGACTCCGACGCTGGTGCTGGCGTGAGCTTGCTTGCCTGCGCAGGTCACCAAACTCGGAGATTGGCGAGTCGGTTCGAGGAGGATGTCGCGATGTGACAGACGATGAGCGTATGCTGCCGTCGCTGTCTCCGGCATCGCTCTCGAAGAGCATAGACCCCCGCCGCGACTCCCGCGTCTGGCCGGACACACTGAGGTTACCACGATGAGACCGTGGGGTCGGGCACTCCCTTGGGCTGCTTGATCGAGTCGATGTGATGGCGTTAGACAGGCGCCGTCCATCAGGGTCGTCGCTGATATTCGCATTTCGAAGCGCCATTGCCAATGATGAGGGCGTATCGAAGGACTCTGGGAATGCGGCATCTTCCGCAGGCCGGAGTACCTCCTCATCCTCCTGCTCCACCTCTTGCTCCTCCTCCACCTCCACCACCTCCTCCTCTTCTTCATCTTCAGTGGAGTCGCTAAGGCGGCCAGCGGCGATTTTGGCAGCCTTCCGCATGGCCTCCTCGACGCATGCCTCCACCGTGACGGTGAACTCGACACGAATCCGCTCGGCGTACTCAATAATTCGCCTGTGCCGAAGGACGGCTTCGACCTTTGCTTTGACGACGGTCTCGGTGTCGGAACAGAGAAGTGCAATTCCTTGCTCCTGCTCCATCGTGTTGTTGCTCGGGGACTGCCACTGTATGACCTGAGAGATGCGGGACTCGGACTGAGGTGATTGTGTCCGGAACTCACCAGGGTTCTGGGAGGAAGCTTCCTTGATGGCAGGAGTACTGATTTCCAAAGCAGTGTCGCAAAGGTCCAGAATCAGCTCCACGATCCGCGCCTGGGGCCTGCGTACCGCAAATGAGCGCGCTCGTGCATGGCCAAAGCCACCAGAACGGTCACGGGATCTATTGGACCCAGGTACGGGGGAGGACGCGCCCGAGGAAGACGAGGTCGAAGGAGGGGGTCCGATGGGCAGGCCCTTGTACTCGGTAAGAGGCAACGGCGACTGGTCACCGGTCGTGGACCGGGATTTCCGGACCTCGAGGGCATCGAGCACCCTGACGATGGAGTGGCGGTGTTCTGTGAGGCTCTCTTGGGCCATCTGGACATCTAATTCGGCACGATGCTCCTGCAAGCATAGATCTGTGTGTTTCTCGAACCACCACGGGGGTATCTGTCGCTCGCAAATGCGACAGAGAACAGGCAGAGGAGGGGGCTGGTTCGCTGGGTCTTCCATTCCAGATTCGGCAAGCTGCGTGAGGTAGCTGGCCAGGATCTCCGCACCAGAACCCAGCGACTCGACAATCACATCGGGAAGGTCGATCTTGATCTCTCGAGGACCGATCCAAGGCCGTATCATCCACATCATCTGTTGTCAATGGCGCAACTGCGGTCAGTTCTCTGTCATCTAGTCCAGGTCCCACGACGACTCTGTCGCTCGCAAAACCACTTACATGACTCTCCCCGCCAGAGGTAGCATCGAAAACCATTATCCCCTGAGCCTCAAGCTCGATCGACGGCTCGAGCCCTTGATCATGGCCAGTCACCGCTTCCACAGTCAGCAGGACTGAAAGCGGACCAGGCTTCATGGCAAAGCGCAGGAACTGGCTGCGTGAGTCGTCTTTCTTCATGGACTCCACGATGTCGGTGAAGATGGTCTTGTTTTCGCTGACGATAAGATCGCTGACCGAGGTTCCCGGAACGGTGTCGGGTGGCGTGCCGATGACATCGACCCAAGACGGGCTCACCCATCGGATGGTGCCGTCAAGGTTGAGATCCATAATGACATTGAGGGTCTGTTCCGCGGCCTCACGCAGCTCCTCCCGCTCCTCGCGAATGTCCTCGCTCAGAGATCGCTGCATGACCCCATCGCTGTTGAACCGCAGCGACGACACGGCCGGGGGAGCCAGGGTGTTGGGAGTCCGGAGGCCGCCATCTTGCTCCCCCTGGCCTTCTGGCCGGCGCGCATCATCGTATCCGCCGGTTGGCGGCGCCGGCGGGTTGAAGGCAGGGAAACTTGTCGATTCTTGATCCATTGTGTGTGGCAAAAAGGGCGCAGGGCTGTTAAAGGCGATGGCATCGAGTATCTGTCAAAGGCGGGCTCTGGCCGTTGTGATTTCCTCTTTGGCAAGTTCTGGGGAAGTGGCCGCGGGGTAGAGTGAGCGGAGCGGCTCGAGCCGGAAGGCGCGGCCGGCACGTGGAAGCGGGCGGCACACGGGCCAGGGAGTGGGAGGCTCGCGTAGATCGGTCTATGGGTTGTCGGTCTCGGGGAGTCGTGGCGGGCGCTATCAGAACGGGCTGTGAGGGAGCCAGTGGGGTCCGGCGGGAGCCAGAGCCTAGAAACCCAATGGGCCCCCAGACATCATAGGGAATTGGCGGCGATATCTCCCGTTGGTGTTGCTGAAGAGCAGGAGAGGCGGCTATCGCGTGCTGGCGCTCGCATTGAAGCGTCGGCACGCCCAACTGACCACCGTCCACACAAGGCGGTGGCCCCGGCGAGGCAGAACGGGCGACAAACAAAGGAGCCTCGAGCCCAGTCGTTACCCTCCAGGCGAGTGCGGGACCGCTCGGAAACCTGTTGACTGTGGCTTGGAGGTGTCGAGACGAAAGTGCCGTCAGCAAAGTCGAGTCGGACGGAGAGGGCGAAGGCCGGCCGGCGAGGAGCTCTGGGGGGGCAGGAGGTTGTGCTGTGAACTCGCCGCCTCGCAGCCCAGTTGACTTTGTTATGGTGTCGTCGGTGGGCTGCGCTCGAGAGTGGGAACAAAGTTTAATGTGGGACCGGCACCAGCACCAGCACCACCTGGTGCCAGCAAAGTTGAAAGGCACGCAGGACCGGGCAGCAGGTTGCCAGACGAGCACTGTGCGGATTGTGCAGATGGGTATGGGTGGGGTTAGCGGGGAAGCATGGCCGTCTTACCAATGGGAGCGTCCGGGCTTGAGGAATGGCAGTACAGATACATGGATCAGGCCAGGTTTTGGCCTGAGTTGCTTGGTCCACAAGGTAGCGTCACATTGTCTCGTAACCCAACCAGAAAAGGAACCTGATCCTCTGATGGGATTTTCCACGGTTGCTCCACCATCTGTGGTTTGGACTGAAAGGGTGGCTCATGGCGACTTTGGGCAAGGATCTGTGGGCGGCATGGGGGAAAGGGACCCTGTATTTGTTGACAATTACGATTACTTTTTGCTATTGGGCTTCCAAGTGCCAGGACGTCGGTCGTCAGCGTCAGCCAGAAGCATGAGCCCAAATCCACCAGGGAAGGAGAAAAGAAAAAAAGTGGAATTGGAAGAAGAAAGATGATGGGGGAATAATAAATGCACGTCCTCGCTCGATAACAAAACCATCGAATCGCAGGGCAAATATCCGCATCGAAGTCTCAGGCATTGATCTATCTCCCCAGACGGAGAGCCGGCAAAGCAAAACAGCACCATCCAGGCTGTGTGTGGTTGACTGTCCAGGGTGCCAGGATCCTCATGCTGCTTGATGGGATTGAGTTAGCGCGGCAACGGACATGAATGGAGAGATGGGTCTTTACACCCCTGTCGCAGATGACTTTTTAAGGCGGGTTGGGTGCTGATCAGTTCTGGCCTGAACTGGGGGACGATGATCTCCGATCACTGTTTCGGGGGGCGTGACCACAATCACGATTGTTGCTGCCCTGCGCCTGCGGGCTGGCTGGCAAGATTCACAGGCCTTTGCTCGACCGCGCACTCAGAAGCCCGGAGCGTTTAATACTACAGGGAAAGTAGGATATTAAACGTTACGCTGTGGGTCTGGTCAGCAGGGTAGCGATACATCGATTTGGCGGGCTTTTCCATAGGAAAAAGTGTAGTTGGGACGTGGCCTAATTAGGAAGGATCTGCGGGTCGTAACGTTCAATATCCTACTTTCCTATAGACGGCTGGGAACCCGGGATGTGCTTTGCTACGTCGGCAATGGAGTCTCCGGCACACACGGACTATGGAGACGGGCGATTCTTCATCCCCACGCATAACCACAACCGCAAATACCCCCTGTCTGAACTGCCTTGGGAGCAAACACCCCATCACGCAATGGTCCTGGTCCTCATGTGGTGCGATGCGGCGGGTGGGTGCCCGTTAAGGCAATACTAGCCAGGCGGGAAACGGGATGGTATAGGGAGTGCAGGACAAGGGGGAGACGCAACAGACGGTTCTGTCTGGGACCCAAGCCTCATCTGCTGGTTGGCTCAGCCCGAGCCTGGGTCGTCGTGAGAATCTGAACACGCGTCGGACTCGACGCGGGCCCCTCCCCATAAGTCGCTCGACCACACTCTCGATAGGTTGCCACCGGATCGCCTGCAGATGCTGGCTGCAGCCTCTGACAGGCGACCATGACAAGGCGGGGGTGTGTGTGTGTGTCTGCAAAGGTTGTGCGTGCGAGAGTGTGTGTACCCGTCGCTGCAGCCGATGCGGCCGTTTCTGTGGACGCATTATATCTGACGACCTATAGGTGATCCCGGCCCACCCGCCTCAGGAGGGCGAGGCGACGATAGGGGTAGATACGGGGCTGTTTCTGCCCGCACTCCTCCCAGTGGGTTAGCTGCTGCCATGCCCATTCATGCAAGAAACAAAAACAGGACCAGAAACAAAACAACCACATCCATGGGGCCACCTCGAAAAAAAAAAACGCACGATTTGGTGCTAAGCCCGGGGGGCCGGTGTGCTGGCCTCCCTGCGCCTAAAAAAGAATACAGTGCGCTGAATGGATGGCACGACTGGGTGCATTAGCGGCCGCGTGAGTCTGGTTATTGTTTTTTTTTTTCCTTCTTTTTTTTCCTAGTCTCACTCCATGCCAGACGGAACGCACTCGTGCAGCACGACCCCTCACGAGGCCGTGACTCCAGCCGTTGCATTGCATGGGCATCAAAGAGCCTAGGCCACCCACTGGGATGCATTGCCGATGAAGCGACGCTACCCACCCCCTGTAACGACCTGATTCATGGGCATGATCCGCAGTCAAAGTGGGTGGCTGTCGGACGAAACGAACCACCACAGACCCGTGCCGCCCAGCTATTTTTTGCTTTCTCTCACCCTCGTCATGGCACAATGGCACAATACATACCCCCTTTTAGTCGGCTAGCACACGTTTGTGCTTACCGGTGTGTAAGGATGCATTTGGAAGACCATGTGCTGGAATGAAATGCACGTCTTTTCACATTGCTGCATGTGAGGAGTGGCAATCTCCCTTCTTGTGTCATCCAAAGCTCTTCAACCAATATCTCCTTGTTAAAAATCTCCGCGTGCCAAATCTCTTTACGTACGCGTCCACGGTCTTTTACGGGATTCTTTTTGTCTTTTACCTATTATCCTTTTCACTCTTGCTCAAGTTCTATTTAGCAAAAGTCGCACCCCTTTTTGTCACCCCTTGTCACCGTGTGCAGGCGTCCATCCTCCGACGGCCTTACAGACGTTGATTGATCAGCAGCCTCCATTCATCCAAGAGGGCGACCCGTGAGCCAGGTAGAGAGGTAGACACAAGCCAAGCTGCCCAATTTCGAGTGTCCAAGCCCACCACCCGTGCAAGCCACCGGCAGCCCCGGCCTTTGGCCATATTGTGGTCTTCATCGTGGACTTTTCTACCGGAACACTCTCCGCGCAGTGCTAAGTTGGGATGGTTGGTGTAGGCAGTCCGTTGCACCTCGGACATAGTGCTTTGGCCTCCTCCTCGCTTGTTTCACGAGCTGCGGGCGGTCGCTTTGACACACCATCTGGAATATTTCCGCATTCTTCGCCCGTTATGTTGTTTGTGGCTGTGGTGATGCAACAACCGCTGATCGCCGCCAGGAGGGCCCGGCTGGGGGTCTACGTGCCAAAAGATCGTCATCAACCCCTCCTCTCCCGCCCTCCATTCCATGTCCCACTCTGAAACCCGCTCCCATTTCCGTCTCGCCGTCGTACCCGGGCCTGATGGGCACGGCCTCCCGCTTGCAAGGGGAATGCCGTTACGTCGGGAAGCCGCCAACTCATCCTCGCGTCTTGACTGCCTCCCAGCGGTCTTTAGCCGCCCTATTTACTGAGCGAGCCGACAACTACCCTCCCTCCTTCTTACTCAAGGTGGCCCGGACGACCGGACGGGGGCATTGCTGTAGCATGGGCGAACAGGCTCGAGGCGGGCCATGCAGGCGGTCATGCTGTGCCGCTCGGGAGAGGAGTCGAGCCCACCTCCCGAGCCTGATATGGGCCACAGCACAGCCAATGCCCGGCGGCCTGCACTATCAGCCAACGTTCGGCGTGAGCGCGCACACCTGTTTCTGGTGCATTCGAAATGCAACGTCTGTGTGTATGTGTGTGTGTGTGTGTGTGTGTGTGTGTGTATGCACCCATCTGACGCGCAGAACGCACGACAGCTGCCCGCCACTTGCCAACCTCGCCTCCTCACTAGGCGCATCTGCGGCTGCCGTGCTACTGGACAACGAATGGCCGTGACCCCGTGGTTGCCACGGCAGAGATTGCTTGCGTGCAGAAATCAATTATGTGTGATTCATGCGTGCCCACACTGGGCGCCTCTGATAGAGATCAGCCGTTTTTCTTTGGCAAAATTATTACTGCGCACCGGATGGGAGTTGTGTTGTACTGCGTCGTTTGGGTGAGCATGTGCGGCTGCCGATAGGTACCTCGCAAGACCCGGAAGGGCCCTCAAGTCACTACAGAAGTCCCAAATGGCTTAGATGAACACCAGGCGCGTTGGCTTTCTGGACGGAAGTTCGGGTAGGCATGTCGGCAGTCGTGTCAACAATGCGACATCACCATTGACACTAGCTCAGGGTCTTGATCTGGCGAGGGGGTGACATGAAAACGAAAAAAAAAGAGACCCGACTTGTGTGCAGGCGCGGTCACGCCTTGACGTCCTCTACACTGTCAGCATCGCCCGTCCACTCCTGCCTCAGCCCTTCCAGCCACTCCCCCTTCTCGACCCAGCGCTGCTCCAACCAACGGGCCAGATCCTCGTCGGTCTGCGGCAACTGCTCGATTGGGAACCGCCGGACGTGGACGTGGAACCGGAACCCCCGACCACCACCACCGGCGGGAACCGACAGACCGGGGACGCTAACCGAATCCCAGAACGTCGGAGCGACCTGCCAGCGGGAGCCTTTCTGGTACGCTATGGCGACGTCGTAGACGGCCTTGACCTGCGGGGCGTGTCGGAGGTGGTTGACGGTCGCGACGAAGCCCTTGGTCCGCGGATACAGGAGATGCTTCGGCTGGGGTTTGTTGTTGGCGCTACACCAGGCGCGCGACGCTTCATATTTCTTGGGCGTGAAGCGGGTGGCCTCCGAGAAGGAAATGAGCCCTATGGCCATCGCGGTCAACAAACAATATCCCCGTTTCTGCACGGGTGGGCCATCGGTCGATTCTGCACGTTTTGGAGAGGAGAGTGTGTACGGCATGCGGCGGGGGTGGGAGGGGAGGACAGGGGTCTGGTCGCGGCCGGCAGGGGACTCGGGACTTACAAGTCGGCCATCTCCTGGTCACGATGCCTTGGAACACCCTGCTAAGCTCATCCTTGTCCTGGATCCAGTTCCGACTGACCATCGGCATGCCCAGCGCCCAGAGACCCCAGCCGAGAAAGGGTACGGCGCGGAGCTGAATCTTGGCAAAGTACCGGCACCTGCCGAGCATCTTGGCAGGAATGGCGAGGTGCTGGATCATGTAGAAATCCGTCCAGGCCACATGATTGGCAACAACGATGGCGCTCTCGCCGGCCGGGATCTGGTCCCCGGAGACGACCACGGCGGCGCCGCTGAAGCCCTCGAAGAAGTGCTGGACCCAGCGCCAGACGGTCCACGCCAGAGCAGACGAGAGGTAGTAGACGGCGTCAGGAAACAAGCTCTTGAGTGGGAGCAAGGCCGACACTGCGAAGTCGATGAAGAGAAGCCACACGACCCAAGGGGCTACGAGGACGACACCCCGTACGTGGGTGAAGACGTTGCCACTTCCCCGGCGGCCCATCTCCTGAGGCTGGAGCTGTGCGTGGGCACAGCCGACGCGCTCGCCAACTTCCAGGGGCCACCTTCCTTCCTGCCTGTACCCAGCAGGCAGACCAGCCAAGAAGGGTGGGCTCGGGTATAACCGGATTCAGTAGGTGGGTGTTGGTTGTGTAGTATGCACGATTAGATATCAGGATCGAGCGCCTAGGCCCACGGATAACCATCTGTCACACACACCAAACAGCAAGAAGCGAGAACTGGCTTCCCCTGGTCCGTCGGAGGTTTTGGAGGATGGGCTTTTGGCCCTTGGTTTCAGGGGTTTGCGGTACGTCCACCCAGGTCGTCCTGTCGATGAATTCGGCCTGGAGATTGGCCAATTGGGGAGCGGGTGCGGGTGCACAAGAGTGGAAAACGAAAGGGATATAAAAACGGATCTGAGAAGTGGCCAAGCGTCGTGGAATACAAAAGAGAGAGACGTTGGGGCGGAGTCGAGCGAAGGTCGAGGGCCATGAATTCGGCACCGGCAGCAAAACGACATTGGTTTCAGACAGCAAAGAGTTCGTGTGTCGTGGTCCGTGTCCCGTGGGACAAGTTCCTCAGCTGACGTGCAGAAAACCAGTGGTAGCCCCTGTCATCGATCCTCGACTAGGGAGCTTATGGGGTCGAGGTCGCACCGGATCGGAGCGGGATTGCTAATAGAGACAGACATGAGATAGGCTTGATGATGGCATCTGTCCGCATTTCTTTACAGATTTTGCTGAACGCGGGACAGCACATGATATCTGTATACACACGCTATCACCGTACTTGAGCGTGGATCTAGATCACCTCGGTGGAGCACCGCTTGGCTCGACCCAACTCGGCTCCGGGCCCAGCCGGGGTCGGCCAAAATGTCCGAGAGACGCTTGCCTTTCCAGAAATGAAATGGCTTGCTGCTCGCGCTGGATAAGCCCCTCTCACCGCCGTGTGGCTGTGGCGACGCAGCACTGACGAATGCCCTTCACCCTTAGGACTTGGCTGTGTGTCTGTTCATCCCACCAGTTGCAGAAAACCAACATGATAGAGCCTCGGGACAATACAGCCTAATCATTACAGGTCAGCTTGCGCCAATTGTCCCCACCAACAAAGACCAAGAGAAGACATCCATTCCCGGTGCCATTGTTGCTGGTGATACCCCGACCCTGGCTTTGGTGGGGCTTAGTCGAGCTTGTGAGGTGGTGGATCCGTAACTCTAAATCTCATCAATTCGCGATGGGTCACTGCTCGCTAGCACAGGCGCCCTCGCCTACATGATCACGATGGTATCACGTTGCATGCTCCGCCACTTGCTGGGATTTCTGGTCAGGGTAAAGGCGGTCCACTTTTTTTTTCCTTTGCTGGCTGTGATATGAGAAAATGAAGTCATTCACAGCCCCCATCTCTCACGGTAGCCATCTCGAGGATGGCTGTCTGGGCGATGTCTAAGCGGTTCGCTGAATGACTAATTCCTCCATTTTCCATGTCAGCCAAGGAGCAAGCGGTATGTTCGGTGTCCTATAATCTTACGCAGTTGGGAAGCCACACCAGGCTGTTGAAGTGGACGAGTTCCTCTGAGGCGGAATTCCGTCAACCCCCTCGATCTGGAGACCCGAGCCCAGCCCCCTTTCTGGTCGTGAGAAAACGCAAGCGCTCGCTTGGGCCAGCTAGCACTGCCACCCGTAGCGCAATGAACAACCACGTATAAATACCGTGGCCTTGGTGCTCGCAGAAGACGTGTGAGGTTTCTCGATGTCCCGACATAAAACGAAGCGGAAGACGTCCAACTTGGCCATTCGGCATAGCGAGCCGAGCATCCCCTACCCCTGGCCCTTGGGCTGGTTTCACTCCAGTGTCGTCCCCCCAGTGCAAATCGCCGCCTTCCCCGACCCTCCACCCCATGCTCTGACGCTGGTCCGCAACTTCAGAGGCCCACAATCAATCAGACAATCGGTGCCCGCACCAGAGCTCGATTGGGGGAGCTAACGCGGCGCCCTGTCGCCGCCTCTGCTTCTGTCGCAAGACAGACAAGGCGCCCCGCCTTGACGCAGGGACTGGTTAGGGGCTTGCGGAATCTCTCCTCTTTTCACACCATCTCGTGCGATTCTGTCCTGTCGCGCTGTCGCTGTCACTGTCGGACTGGAACTCGGACTGCGACACCACAGTCCTTATCTTGGCCAGCAACCGACAGATCATACCGTCTGCGACGTGCTCAAAGCTGTCTGACGCGTGCTCGAGTTTGCACAAGAGGACAATTAAAACATAAAGGCATTGAGCCGCCGTCCCGGCGCCGGCCTCCCCCAGGTAAGGTACCGCCAGCTATGCCTGTTGTCTCATCGCCAGTATCGGATCGGCAGCGGTCCAAAGTCGCTGCCGTCCTTGGTTCACTCAATCCTGTTACCATCTTCCATCCCGCACGAGTCAAATCAGTCCCGCCTTCTCCCACCACCTGAACTTGCTCCCCTTCGCTTGTTTTCTGCCTGTCTCCTTGCGGGAACTGGGCGGCGTCCAAGCCTCTGCTACGTCCCGTCTCTTTATCCCCGCCGCTCCACGAGAAGTCATCGCCGCAGAGCCTTATCAGCGGACAACGGGATAGCGAAAGGGCTTGGTGCATGACGACGCCAGACTCAAGTCTGTGAGCGTGGCGCTGGCGCCTCATGGATTGCACTTGAATACTGCTCCACCTGTCATAGCACAGAAGCACCAAAATCTGGCAATCATGGCTGACCTTGGCCCGATAGCGGCGGCGTATCCTTCGCCAACACATTCAAACTCCCCCGCAAGTGTCCGGCGCCCATCGGTCCACTCGTCTCACGGGAGATTAGCCATGTCCTCGAGCCTATCTCCCGTCACGCCGTCCCAGAGCTATGGCGGCGGCGGCGGCCAGGATAAGAGCCCGCTGGGATCGCTGAATCTGAACTTTCTCAAGACACTCACGGACAAGAGAACGACCCGAGGTATGCTGATCCGCCCTTCGTCTCATGTGGCCGCGGCACTGTCTAACGGCATGAGCAGCAGATGGTTCTGCCCCGAAAAGGAGAGGCCCCAAGCCAGACAGCAAGCCTGCTCTGACCAGGCGGCAGGAGCTGAACAGGCAGGCACAACGGTGAGTCTCTAGCCACACGCTTCCAGAGGATAGCTTCCCCTTCTGAAGCTGGCGCACGGTATAGGCTGCGCGCTTGAGGTCTCGTGCATACCCCTGACGGTCTTGTGCGTGCGCGCTTGTTTTCATCTAGGACTCATCGAGAAAGGAAAGAGCTCTACATCAAAGCTTTGGAGGACGAAGTCCTGCGGCTCAAGGAGGTTTACAGCAATGCTTCGCAGGACAAGGAGCGTCTCGCCAGCGAGAACCAGCAGCTTAAGCAGCTGCTCGCACAGAACGGAATATCATTGAGCGGCATGATCGGCGGCTTTGGAGACGACTCAACCAGCAACCCGAGCATCGGCTACGCCTCCTCGACGAGCGGTTACGGGGGCGGCGCCCCGTCGTCGCACACGAGCGCTTTCACGCCGCCGCCGCTTTCGGCCAACCCAATCGGCGGGCAGTCGCATGCTGCGTCAAGGCATGCAAACCACGAGCACAAGCATCAGCCGCATCACAGCCACAGCCACTCGCAGGGCCATGGGCAGAGGAATCCGGCGGTGGATTATGATCAAGCTGGGATCGACTTCGTCTTAACGTACGAGAACCCCTCGAAGGCATACATGTCACCGCCCCATCAGTAGTCACTGCTTCCAGTGGAATACACCGTATAAGCAAACAGAGAGTCGGTGACTGCCACACATACACACGCACACATACATATCCACATCCACACACCCACAAATCCATGCACATATCGACGCGACAGAGGACTCCCTCTGTTCGTGTAAGAGAGTGTTTCATCACAGTACCGACACCATCTTTGAGAGGCCACCGGCAGAGTGGATCCATACGCTGGTGTGGATTTCCTTGCTGTCTTTTTTTTGTCAATTCTTTCTCATTCTCTTTGTCATTTAAATCGTGCTTACTCATCTGCCTACTAGTCTCGAGAAGCCATGCATGGATCACCTTCCATGGCTGTTGGAGCGGGGAATCGAGACCGGTGGCTCGGATCCGTGTGGCCATGCCCTGATGGCGTCCTGCCCTCCGGAGCCGTTCCCGGAGCTGACTCCTGACATCCCTTTCGGCTATGCCAACGTCAAGGGTGGCGACATCGACTCGGGTCAACGCACCTGGGAGCTCTCCAAGGCTGATCTCAACACTCTTCTCGACCTGAGCAAACGCCTGAACCTTGACGGCGAGATCACCCCAGTGATGGCATGGGGCATGGTCCTAGCCCATCCTCGGCTCGCTGAGATGTCTCTCCAAGACTTCCAGAAGCTCACCGAAGAGCTCGGCCGGAAGGTCCGCTGCTACGGGTATGTCTAATCATAGCATCATGATGGCCGAGGTGGGGTTTCTAAAGGCTAACGCAACTTTCTTCCAGATTCGGCGCGGTTATGGAGGAGTTCGAGGTCCGCGATGCGCTCGAGAACGTCTTCTCCACGAAGCCTGAAATTTACTATCAGCCCAGGATGACCGAGTACGTTACTGGATACTAGTGTGTGCATTTCGGCAGCCAAAATTCCGATGAAAAAAGAGAAGCGTGGTGGGCAGACACGCCAACCACAAAAAAAAACCCCCCGTCAGCCTTACAGCCCGTCCCAAAAATGAAATAAAATTACTAGTACCGCAAGCTTTCCTGTTTTTATTATCTTTTGCTGCTATCATTCCTATTCTTCCTTTTATTCTTTTTATTCCTATTTGTATTGCTATTTTTATTGCTATTTTTATTGCTATTTTTATTGCTATTTTTATTGCTATTTTTATTGCTATTTTTATTGCTATTTTAATTCCTCTGTGTGTACCTATTTCTATACCTATTCCTAAAAGGAACTGCCATATTTTTTTATGGTGGGCATGGCAGAATACGATAGAGGCATCCTCCACACCTGACGCCGAGCCATGGCAAGCCCTGGCCCGGTGCGGCCATGGGACTTCACTGAGACACCAGGACGGTCGTCGCAGCGCCCCTTCCTTTTGAATAGTCAGTTGTGGGCATCAATGAGACGGCTGCATCTGGGGAACATGAAAAGCACGAGCATATGAATAAGGGCTGCTTTGAATCTCCAGCACGTCGTATTCCTCTTTAGTTTTACCCCGTTGTGTTGATGTAGGGGTTGGTGATGATTGGGGAGCCACGTGACGTGCTAGTCAGGTGATCCGTATTTCTGCGTACCTCTTGGCAGAAAATATCTTGCCCCGCATGCCCACCCCCACGCCCACCGAATGAAATTTCGCGGACATAATTACACGACGGCTTGCTTTGGTGGGATCGCAGTGTAATTGCGCTAGATTCCCTAGAACGGACCGACACTCTATCCCCAGGAGGATACAAGATATTCAACGCGGCCACGCCGTTTTTTTTTTTTATCGATCTGCTCACGCGGCACTCAGATCTTGCAGCGCCTCCCAAGCCTCCCCGAGCTCATCGCGACAGACCTTATAACCCCGCTGAAGCTTCACACGACAAAATGCCGACCTCGCTGGCGGACATCGTCGCCGCCCTGCCGGACGGCGATGGTTGGGGCCCGGAGACCACGTCCGAGACCACACTGAACGGAGTTCCTTATGCTCCCTTCTCCAAGGGTGACAAGCTGGGTCGCATGGCCGACTGGACTGCCGATGGCAAGGATGGCAGGGACGGTCGCGGTGGCAGGCAACAGTTCAACAGGAACTACAGAGGTGGGTGGCCAGCTCTCAATCACGGACTCATGCAATGCGCCATCAACTCGGTGAGGCTCTCGGGCCCAGAAGTCATAGGTCTAACCTGCTTCGCAAACAAACAGATCAACAAGTCTACGGTGCCGGCGTTGCCTCGATATTCGCGGCCCCCCAGGCCGAGGACGAATCCACATTCTCCGTCGTTAGCAACGTCCGCGACAGCGCAAAGACAAGATTTGGTCGTGGCGCCGTCTTCACTCGTGGCCGGGGCCAGCGGGGCGCACGGGGCGACGGCCGCGCCGGCCGCGCCCAGCTCTCGCGCGGAGGGCGTGGGGGCGGACAATACGGCGGCGGCGGCGGCGGCGGCGGTTACGACGGCGGCAGGGGCGGTCGGAATAACGCGGGCGGTCGAGGTGGCCGACGCTTCGGCTGGAAGGATTACGACAAGCCGGCCCGGAACCGGGACGCCTCCATCAACGTCAAGGCCGACTGGACGCTGCTCGAGGAGATCGACTTCAACCGCCTGGCCAAGCTCAACCTGGACGCGGACGAGGGCGAGGATATCAACTCGTACGGCTTCCTGTACTCGTACGACCGCTCCTACGATAAGCCCGCAGTCAAGGCGGCCGAGCGCAGGCTCGTCCCGCTCGATCGCGCCGCATACAACGTCACCACCTCGTCCGACCCCATCATCCAGGAGCTCGCCGAGAAGGACGAGGCCACCATCTTTGCCACCGACAGCACGCTCTCCATGCTCATGTGCGCCACGCGCTCCGTGTACCCATGGGACATCGTCATCGTTCGGCAGGGCAACAAGATCTTCCTGGACAAGCGCGATAACGCCGCGCTCGACATGGTCACCGTCAACGAGAACGCAGCCGACGCACCGCTCGAGGCGTCCGAGGGCAGCAAGGACACCCTCAACCAGCCTCAAGCATTGGCAGAGGAGGCCACGTACATCAACCACAACTTTGTTAACCAGGTTGTCGTCGAGTCCGATGCCCAAAAGGTCGAGATGGACAACGAGAACCCCTTCTACAACGCGGCCGAGGAGACGGAGCCGCCGGCGTCCAAGGCCTACAAGTACAGGAAGTTCGACCTCTCTACAAACGAGGAGGCCCCAGTGTACCTGGTCGTCCGGACGGAACTGGACGCCGTGCAGAAGAATGCGACGAATGGCGAGGACCAGTTCCTGACTGTCAGGGCACTCAACGAGTTCGACAACAAGGCTCAGGGATCCGGTGGCGCACTCGATTGGCGTAGCAAACTGGTCAGCCAGCGTGGTGCTGTCGTGGCGACCGAGATGAAGAACAACAGCTGCAAGCTGGCCAGGTGGACCGTTCAGAGCATCCTCGCCAAGGCGGATGTCATGAAGCTTGGGTATGTCTCGGTCGTCGCCTACTGCCTCTGCTTCCCTCGTAAAATGACTGCCTCGTTACTGACATACATGTGATTACGCAGATTCGTTTCGAGGGCTTCACCAAAGTCCAACGACAAGCACATCATCCTGGGTGTGATCGGCTGGAAGCCCAGGGACTTTGCCAACCAGATGAACTTGTCACTGTCCAACGGATGGGGTATTGTCCGCACCATTGTCGACATGTGTCTCAAGCGGGAGGACGGAAAGTTCATCCTCGTCAAGGACCCCAACAAGTCTATCCTTCGTCTGTACGAAGTCCCGGCCAGCAGCCTGGACGAGGACGGTGAGGACCAGGGCGACATTGAGGAGGTTGAGGAGGAGTAAATATTTACCGTACAAGGGCGTGTGAGGAGGGAAAACAGCAACCATTTGATTTGGCATCGGTCTGCGTTGGGAGACTTAGGTAAACAAAAGAGGGGTACATCGCAGTGTTGGTGCTTTTCGATCAGCGATATCAAAAGGAGGGACGAAATGGCCCTCGTAGGCAGTCAGGGGCTTGCAGGTTGGGTGTCTCGGAGGACTGTGTTAATGCACGGTGCTAATCATTATTTCCACATTAGCATAAAGAGTGGGGCGGCGTGGACTGAAGTGACGGCTACGCGTCGGAATTCAGCGTTGGGCATGATCTTCTCCAATTTTCTTCCTCTCCAATTTTCTTCCTCAAGCACTCTTGAGCCTTTACCCTTCATCTCAACCATGCTGCGTCGATGGAAGCCGTTGCAGAAAAATGTCAGACCAGTTCAGCATCTACGCTGAGCTTCTGTCAAACATCCGCCAGGTCTCTGTCGTAGCCAGCCTCCCCTCGGCGCGCAATGCCAGCACGAAAGCGATGCTCTTGAACGGCGGCAGCCGGATCCATATCAGCCACGACGGCGACACCCGGGAGCTAGACCTGCCCGCGGTGGTCCACACTGGCGGTGGTGCCGGCAGCGGGCCCGTCGTCCTGCCTCCAACAAAACCTGCTGCTGCTGCTGCTGCTGGCGCGGGAGCCGCCGCAGGACGCCAGTGCGCCTGGCGCCTCCCGCTGCCGCCCTCCCGCCAGGCGCCCCCACAGGCGGCCGCGAGCCCGGCGGCCCGGGGCGCGGCAGTGCCGTGGGAGGCGGTTCGCATCGCGCCGGCCGCCACCTCGGTGCGGTGTCGGTCGTGCCGGGCCATCGTGGTGCCCGGGAAGCGCATCGCGCGCTGGAAGGACCTGCCGAGCGCCGACTGGGCCGAGATGATGGAGTTTTGGCACTGCCACAAGCCCGACGACCATGCCGACGGGCGTGACGGTGGCGAGCATGAACACAGCCACAACCACGACCTCGAGCATCGCCAGGACGGCGGCAAGGCGAACGGCCAGACCCTGGCCGGGCGGGGGTACGGTGCCAATTCCAGGATCCAAGGCCAGAAGGGCGTGGGCCTTGTGGATCTGGCCATGTTCTTGTTTGCAGAAGAGGACTGCGAGGGTATCATGGTAAGTTGACCATGCTCTCATTGTGTTCTGCGGCTCGATAGCCTTTGTGGGTATACAAGAAGGCGACCGAGCCTCCTCAGTGGCTTGGTTACCGATACAAGTACCCTATAATAGCATTCCTGTTCCTTCCCTGTCTTTTGGCAGGGAACCGCCGGACTTGTCCCGAGGTGTCTTGGGTCTTTGGAAACGAGCACCGCGGGGCTTGGCTGTGCGGAACAACAGGCCTCCTTTTTCACCGTGGTTTCTAAAGTTTGGACTCTTTGGGATTTCAGGAGGGACATATCATCTGGTCTGTTGCCGTAGCGGCCTGCACCCCCAAGCCACATGCTGACAGCAAAACCACTTCTCCAGTTCTCACCATCCTCTCCGGGAGATTTCCTCGAGAGTCCCTCTCTCGATGTTCTAGCTGGAGCCCCGGCCAGGCACCTGGGTGCATCCTGCTCTTTATGTGAATCTACTATAGGCTACTACAGCTTTGGGACGTCAGCTGTGACACTCTTGAAGTGGCGGGTGCTTATACAAGAAGAGCCTGAAGTGGACGTGGCCCCCGCATCACCCTCCATGGGTCAATGCCTCGCAGCAATGCTGCTGTCCACAATCGCCCGGTCGGGGTCATCCAAACCTTTGGTTGTGCCAATGACGGGACTGGTGGTAGGGAAGGGGGGCCAGATTCTAACGTCAGGCAAAGCATTAAGCCTCTGGATACTGAACAGCACCATTCGTTTCACGTCCACTGCATATTCTGGCAGTAATGTGTTGGCCATCAAGCTGCTCTACAAGGTCATCACCGAGGAGGATGCCACCAAAGTCATGGAGTCGATGAACTCGGACACCCAGGACGTGAGCATCCCGGATGAGTCTCTAGGCTCCGTCATCGAGATGCTTGATCGCAGCAACGCCATCCTTCCTGTAGACGACCGCATGTTTCAAGGTTGGAAGGTTGGCCTACTGGAGCAGTGGGAGTGAGGAGGCCAAAGGGGGTGCCGATGCGACCCGGACAGAGGAATGAAAGCCAGCTTCTGGTCTGCTGGCATGATAGCTCAAACAATGATACCTATTTTGCCCCATCTTTAATTTTCGTGATAAATATCCTCCTACTCGAGCACACGCTGCCTCCAGCTCCAATGCTTTTCTGGGCCACCTAGCAGGTTCTTCATGTCTTGCACATCGTGGCCGTGCTCGCCATGCTCCATAGTGCCAGCCTCGACGGCCGGCCTAGCGTATTTGACCGCAGCCTCGGCGTCGCCAAAAGCATTGTAGTTCAGCGCGGCGAGAGCGTACGCGTCGCCTAGCGCGCAGTCGAGGCGCTCCTCCGCGTACAGTCTCAGCAGCGCCTGTGCACTATCCGGTCCTAGAGGCGTGTCCCCCTTGCTGCCCTGTGTCGCCTCCCGGGCCGAAGACGACGCCGAAGACGACGACGCCAGCGGCCAGTCCCTGAGCCGCGACTCGAGCTGGTAGATGTCCCACAGGCGGCCGTCGGACTCGGCGGCGAGGGCCGGGGCCAGGGCGCACTGCGAGCAGGCGCAGGCGAAGCCCCAGCTGCGCTCGGCGCGGGCCCGGCGCACCTCGCGCGCGCGGAAGGGGTCGAGGTACGAGATGGTCAGCTCCTCCCCCGCGGCGATGTCGCGCACCGCGTACGTCGTGTGGCTCAGCGACGGGGAGACGTGGAAGACCAGGCTGTTTTTTCCCCACCTGATTAGACTGAGGAGAAACGGGGGGCTGTAGTGCCTAGCAATGGGGGGATGAACTCACTTTGGTCGGCAGTCGTGATTCAGCCTCGACACGTCGAGATAGCTTGCCACGTGCGGGTGGCCCCCCGCGGCCGCGTTGAACGAGTTGGTGTCCATGACGTCCTTGACCTTGCGCCCCCTCTCCTCGGTCGCGGACTGCGCGGCCTGTGACAAAAAGTCCTCGGCGGTACCCCGGGGCAGATGGGCCATGGCGGCGTCGTACAGCCGCAGCTGCGCCGCCTCGGCCTCCATCCCTATGGCGTCCTGGTGGACCACAAGCACCGGGGGGCGAGCCATGATGGGCTCGCCGCGGCGGATCGGGCGCGCGGCCACGAGGCCCAGGCCCTTGCCCGGGATCTCCTTTTGCTCAAACGGCGCGGCTGGCTCGTGCGGAGGCGCCGGCTGCTGCTGCTGCTGCTGCGCGGCGTCGAGGGCGTTGGCGACGGCCTCGGCGCCCCTCGCGGTCCCGACCACGACGACGCCGCGGCCGTGCGAGAAGGACGGGTTGGAGTAGACGCACATGTCGGCGACGCAAAAGTGAGGCCCCCGCCACGACATGTCCACGGACTGCTGCTGCCGCTCCCGCTGCTGCTGCCACTCCCGCTGCTGCTGCTGCTGCTGCTGCTGCGTGTCGTTCGCCTTGGTTGGCGCAGCGGTGCTAGGCTCGGGGCCCTTCATCTCGGGTCCGACCTCACAAAAGGCGGGAGCGGCGGCGAGCAAGGGGCTCATGGCGCAGACATTGGCACCCACGGCCAGGGTCCGACTTCCTGTCGTTGTATCCCCGACCGCGGCAGGAACGCCCGAGAGGAGTAGGAGCCACGAAAGGGACGTGAAGCCTCGATCTTGGCGCATGGTGGATTTGAGCAGCCTGGGCGAGGCTAGACAGATATGACTAGAGAACTCACGCCCATGCGGTTTGGTTTGTTGCTCGTCTGGTGAGTCACCACAGGTTGCGTTGTCGAACGAAAAGAACCCCGGAAGCTAGCAAGAAACAACTGGTCACAGTCTTTTGAAGGTGCGAATTCAACTATGTTTTATAACGCCCGCTCTAGCATCTCCCCAGGCGGGCAGAGGGCCGAACAAATACATCACGAGATGTTCGCGAGCACGGGGCCGCACAGACAGCAAAGAACCCGTCCCCGGAGTCGCTGGCACTTGTTTCAAGGAGCGGTTTTGCCGACCCAGTCGCTCTGCGTTTGATGGAGCAAAACATCGGATTGGGCTTGGTGTTTGGAACGACAGCAGGGGTTGCTGTCGTGTTTTCCCCTTTTTGTCACCGCCTGAACAAGCTGTAGGGCCCACTCTTCAAAAAATGATACTCATGGTAAGGCGGCTGGGTGCACCGTGTTGGTTCAAATGGCTGGGGGGCCTTCCAGGTAAGCGGGTGACAAAACCAAACTCACACCAAACAAATGCCGGCGAAAAGGAAAATGAAAAGAAAATATTCTCCTTATTGGATGCTTCTGGATAAACGACTGTATTTTTCCAACTTTCCTCTATTCAATTTGAAGTTGTGGGCTCTGGTTTGGTGGTTTGGGCGTGAATTTAATTTTGTCACCGGCTTGCCAGGCTACAGGCTCCACTGCGTGATTGTTGGCAGCTGTTGTGGGGCGTCCGCAGCTCCCCCACGCCACGGCATTGAGCCGCCTTTAACGCGAACCCGTGTTGTTGCCTCTCCACCTCACTCAAAGTTCTTGATATCACAACCACCTTCACTCGGCTCGCGACCAACCCAAAACTCCCACCTATATAGACACCTACCTACCCACCTCAATTACAGCCCGCCGTAACCAGGCTTCCTCCTCAACACACCAGACGGACAGCTGTCAACGCACCATCTCGCTCCGGCTGCTTCGGCCGGGGCTCCTGTCCTGTCGTCGACGAGCCATGTCTCACCTAGGGCCCGCTGTTTCTAGGTACATCGCCGCCGGCACTGTGTTACTGAGCAGAGAGGACAGCCGTCTTCCCGGTGACCGATGGGTCACCTTGCAGCAGTCGAGCCGCTGGCACGGTTTTGCCCGGCATGACCGACCTCTGCCTGAATCACCTTCTAGAACTTTGGCGCCTCACATCGAGCTCAAGTCACCAGAGACCGATGCCCCGCTGCTACCAGAGGAGACGCAAACTACTCTTCTCAAAGCCCTGGGCCCAGCATCGAAGCTATTCAAGCACCATTGGGTTGAACTAGAGATCTATTTCTGCCAGGATGCCGCCGTCGTCCGGGTCTATCTCCTTCCCGAGGATGTTGACCGGCGCTTGGTCAACCGGTCGAATTCCGCCTTCAAGAAGATCTGGAGTACCCTCCTCCAGCGCCTCAACTTTTCCCCATCTGCATGGCAAGGCGATCCCAGCGCTGTCCACACCAGTCAACCCCCGCCTCAAGAGGGTTCTGGGGACGATGAGACTGGTGCTGAATCTGTGTCCTTGCTCCACCTCTTCAACACCATCCCGTCACCAAATCCGCAAACCGAGCAGCTTGCGGATTCGTTCGACCGCGATTATAGCTATAGTTTGTTGACAAGTAAAATCCCGGGGCTCACCACGACTCTCTATCCGTACCAGCGTCGGTCAGCGGCGCTCATGTTCCAGCGAGAAACACAGCCGACACAAACACTAGACCCGCGCCTGAGTCTGGTGACTGACCACCACAACGTAGCCTGGTATTATGACCCGGCAAGCTGCACTGCTCTCAGACACCCTAGGTTCTATGACGGGGTGCGTGGTGGGATTCTCGCCGAAGAGATGGGGGCTGGCAAAACTTTGATCTGCCTAGCCCTGGTCCTCGCCACTCGCCACCAACCAGCCTATGCGCCCGACATCTACAAGATCCCTGTGCCCGTTAGGCCCAAAATCGCGTTCCTTGCAGACATGGCCGCTTCGGCAGGCTCCCGCGAGTCGGTGCCATGGGGTGCATATTTCGACGATTCCCTTACGGGCGGTCGACACTATAAGAACTGTCTGGCGGCGATCGAGGGGAACCCGGTGTACTACCTCCTCCCGAGGCCAAAGCCAAGGCGCGAACATCGACGCCCACGGTCAGCACTTCCTGCAACCAAGGTTTTTCTCAGTCGAGCAACCTTAGCCCTAGTTCCAGCCAACCTCCTACAGCAGTGGAGGGACGAAATCGCGAAGCACACGAGTGGGCTGAGCGTCCTTGTCCTCGCCATTGGGGGCCGGGAGATACCTGATACTACAGCTTTGGCAAAATACGAGCTTGTCATCTTCTCCATCCCACGCTTCGAGAGGCTCCATGAGCAGCGGGTCGCTAATGAGAACGGGGCCTGGACGTTGGATTCACCCTTGGCCCAAGTTCACTTCAAGCGGATCATAGTGGATGAGGGACATCGGCTCGGGAACTCCAGGATTGGGAATAAGTCAAACATGCTCCAGATTCTCGAGCACATACAGGCGTCTGCCCGCTGGATCGTGACAGGGACACCATCCACAGGGCTGTTCGGCATCGATGACGGCGATCTTGAGGCAGCTAGCGACGGCACGAGCGTGTCAAGCGATAGCCTGCCCGTCAAACCCGGCAAGAAAGCCGCTCAGTCCTCTGTGCAGCTGGAGCGAAAGGATCTAGAGCGCATTGGGTCCATTGCGTCGCTGTACCTGAAAGCGCGTCCATGGGCCAACAGCTCCACGGAAGACGGGGATTCGCGCGCGGAATGGTCCGTCTACATGATGCAGAAAAAGCACAACGGCCGTGGGCAAGGCTGCTACTCGGTTCTCAAGTCTACTCTCGAATCTCTGATCGTCCGCCATCGCAAATCAGAGATAGGCGACTTGCTCCCCGAGGTTGTGGAAAGGGTTGTCTACCTGGACGGGTCCTACCAAGACAAGCTTGCGTTGAATCTCTTCTCGATGATGGTAATTTCAAACGCGGTACAGTCGCAAAGGACGGATCAAGACTTTTTCTTCCATCCTCGCCAGCGCAAAAGTCTCTTGCAGCTACTTGCGAATGTAAAGCAAGCCACCTTCTTTGGGGGTGCCTTTCTCGACAAGTCGGATATTACCAAGGCCTGTGATACCGCGGAAGAGTTCCTCGCAGCGAAAAAGATCCCTGTGAGCGAGGAAGACGAGCGGCTGCTGCGAGACGCGGTAGCGGTCGGCAGGCTAGCCTCAGCGAACAAGCTCAAGCATGCAGCCAAAACGCACGGCGAAATCCCTGTGTACGTCGAGAACTTTCCTGGCGCCGAATTCGATCAAGTATCGCAGAGCTGGTGCATCATGGACCAAACCGAGGGCCACGGCCAAATGAATCACCTCGTCTGCACCGACGCGCCAATCCTCCTGGCTCTCCAGCGGTTCGTGCGTCCTTGGATGAGCTCTCCGGAGTCACTGGACATTGTTTTCCGTTCCGGGACCTTTGCGCAACGGGGAGAGTTGGAGAAGGCGAAGATTCAGGAGACGGCAACGCCTACAACTACGAAAAGCGCGACACTGGCCGGTAACACCAAGCTGGGAGATAGCGGTCCACCGAAGAAGTCCTCCCGGCCCAAACCAAGCCCGGATGCTGCGCCGGATTGTGCGGGCGATGCGTCAGGGGAGGTTGCCGAGTGCCTTGAGGGTGCTCGGCTTGTATCTACAGCTTCAGCAAAGCTATCGTACCTACTGGACGCGATTGTTGAAAATCAGCAAGCAGAGAAGATCCTGGTATTCTACGAGAGCGAAAATGTGGCATACTGGCTCGCAGGGTGCCTGGAGAATGTAAGTGCTTCGTCTTCCTCCACGTCCCTCCGTTGGCACACGCCACTGACTTTGTACAGCTCCAAGTACGGCATCTCATCTATGCCAAGTCGCTGGCCGCCCAGCGTCGAGCTCAATACGTTGCAACCTTCAACGAGAGTCCGACTTTCAGGTTGGTCATATGAGCTTTACTACACCTTCTCACGCTGGACTAGGGCCAGCGCACGGGGGAACTGCTAATTCTGACCACATTCTAAACACAGGGTGATGTTGATGGACCTGACACAGGCAGCGTTCGGCCTTGACATGCGGTCCGCCTCGCGCATCTACTTTATCAATCCCGTGCTCAACCCTCAGGTCGAGGCGCAAGCGATCGGGCGAGTGCGGCGCATCAGCCAGAACAAGGCGGTGACGGTCGAGACGCTGGTGCTGCGGGGGACGCTCGAGGAGGTGGTCGTGGAGCGGCGCAAGGACATGACGCAAGCCGAGCACCAGAAGTGCAAATCGCTGCTGGACGACAAGCCCCTGCTCGAGTGGTTCCGCAACCCGAAGCTGATTCCACTCCCGGACGGCGACGGCCCGGACGACCCGGCGCAGATGGCGCCCCTCAAGACGCCGCTGCCGCTGTTTGGCCACGGGGCGGGCAAGCTGTCCCACCCGGACGAGGACCTGGTGGTGCGCGACGGGCGCGGCGGCGCACAGGGCGAGCCCGCGACGACGGCCGCGACAAAGAGGCCGCTCTCGGCCGTTTTGGAGGGCGGCGGAGGGGCGGCGGCAAAGGACAAGGTTGCGAAGCGGCCGCGGGAGGCCAAGGGCGTTCGGTTTGTGGACCCCGCCGGAGACGAATAGCCGAGGGCTGGCGGCGCTAAAAGTCGGCGAGATGCTTACCTGGCTTGGCGGCTTGGTTTTTGCATTTCCCGGAGTTTGGTTGGCATGGCTACCTGGGCAGGCTTTTGGCCAGCGGGTAAGACTGCAACCTGATGACGGTATCGGAGCGGGCGTTTATCAACGGGATTGCGTGTACATGGACTGACTGATGGGATACCCCTGGGAATGGGCATTTGGGTTTGCGGCGCGTTTGCGGTTGTTATTCATTCTCCTGTTATAAAAGGTTGCCATGATAGATTTGGTCTTGCACAATTCTATGGATCACTTTCTGATGGCATAATGCCTTTAATGAACGATATCGGCCACCGGCTTCCTGTCCTCATCCACGCGGGACACGCGGGACACGCGTGACGATATCCGAGAGCTTGGCTTGACCGATCCAAACCTGCTCTTCTAGAGAGTCCGGAACCATGCTGCATCCGATTTCCGACTAGTTCCATGGTTCGACGGGCGGCTAAGCCTGGACTCCCGTGTTGGGGCATCTGGATGGGGGGTGTGTGTTTGGCCCTTGGGTCGTATAAGTGGCTGGGTGACGCCGATGCATGCATGGCACCATTGGTGAACTCGACCAAAAAAAAAAAAAAAAAAGGACTGGCCCGTTCCACCGGCACAGCGGTGCCTACTGGACCAAGATGCCGGAGCTGGAAAGTCTGGTGCTATTAAAACCATGGACCCTATAGTGTGCTACCAATAACACAGCCACACACAGGCTTGTTGCACAACAACAACGGATGTTAGATGTGATGCCGGCCGGCTATGTGCATCAAATAGGGTGGTGGTACGGAGGAAATGGCCCCCGGCAGGGCTGCAAGGCACGGCATTTTTGTGAAATTACAAAGCCAAAGAATTTGCGTTCTGGATTCTGCCTGTGTGCCTGTGCTGGTGGCGGCTGGCTGCCAGTGGGGCAGTCAACGGGCTTTGTTCACCCACGCACAGCAGGATCAATGGCCTCCCAGCCCGCCCAACCCCACCATAGACCGTCATGCATCCCACCGGGTCCGGTCTTCCCAGGCTTTATTTTGCAGAGCGCTAATCTTGGTTGCATTCTTTCCCGTGTTCGCGCGGGCGACCGGGGCAGGCCTCCCAGCTCGACTCGGCCCTGACTCGGCCTGTTCACACCTTGAGCGCGGCTGATGTCGACATTGAAGGGCCCTTGCCGGGAAGCAGGGCGGGCAGGCCAGGATGGGGAGCATCCTTCAGTGGATGGTGGAAGTCGCTACCATGGAGCGTGCATGCCAGGCCAGCGTGCCCAGCAAGCCACCACCCCCGCGCCATGTGTTGTGTAACGTCTCAGCATCCGGAAAGGAGCAGGCAGTGACGGCTGCTCATTCGTGCTGGCCGACGTCTGGCCCGGCCTTCCAATTGGCTCTCGACCGCATGCAGACGCAGCCACACGACTCCTTGCTCGCTGGCAGCCCCGGGGAGGCGTCACGGGCGTCTCCTGATGGACAAACCAGCCCCATCCCCCTGCCCCCTGGCAGGCTCCAGACTGGGTGAGTGGCAGGCAGTTCAGCTCATGCGGGTTGGGCTTTTTGCCCACGACGCGTGTGAGCGTCCAGAAAACTCGGTCAGGATTGATTGGCTCTCTGATCGAGATGCATCCAGCAGTTGGCCCTTGCTCCTCCAAAACCCTTCTCGCAAAGTGGCCAAGCAATGGAAGCCCCGTGCGGGAAAAGCAAAGGCTTCTGGGCCCCCAGCCCAGCGGCAGCAGCCTGCTTTGCTCGCACTCGCCCCATTTCTACGTATCCCCGCGTCCATGGGTGGGACACACAGGGCGCAAACCTGCATGCAAGGGAAAAAAACGGCCACGTCCTGTCCTCGGCGTCTTGGTCGGCGTCACTCAGGGCAGAGAGGAATCAGACTAGACAAAAGTCGGGCGCGGTGCGGCGGTGCGGTGCAGCGCATAACCCCAACGTACCCGCTGCAGCCGCGCTGAATCTTGAAACAAAGCAGACAAAAACAAATACGGCCAGGCCTGGTGTCGTAAGCAGCCAGCATCGCGCGCGCGGAGAAGGAGCCAATGCTTAGCCGCTGCCGCGCACCGCCCTTCTCGGCACTGCAAGGTTGTTTGGTTGGTGGTCCACCAGCCCGACCTTGATTTTCCCGCTTTACCCTTGATACATATATTCCGTACCCCCTCTGGCCCTCCCCCGGGTCGGACCTCGCAGCCGTGAACTGGTCTTGAAACCAAGTTCGGACGACGAGACAAAGAGAGGGACAAGGAAAGCAAGCATAGCCGCCGCCCGTCTCTGGCTTGTAGTCTCAACGGCCCCCTCTTCCCTGTTCGCCCGCTGATCGAGCCGCTGCCGAGCCGCCTCCCGTGGTGCGTCTTGCGAATCGTTCCGCTCCTGGTAGGGGCCAGGGAGGGAATGGTTGACGGGGACAACGACAAACACGCCGCGGCCTAGAACACGACCAGCCAGCGAGACGAAGGAATCGCCGGCGCCGACGACGACAAACGGACATGTTTCAAGTTGCAGCGCCCGAGCCGGATCGACTGTTCCGGAGCGAGCCGCACCCACAGCGCCCGAATCAGCCAAACCACCTGAGCCAAAACCAAAGCCAGCGCCACCAGACAGCCCCCGAATCGTCGGTAGCGGGGGGGCCCCGAACGAGGGGCTCACTGCCGCCGCCAACGCTTCACGGGGGCCACGATAGTCACGAGGACTCGATCCGGAAGGGCTTGTACGCTGCCCTGGCTCAGGCCACCCACCAGCGGGACCATGGCGCCCCTTCCGCCTCGGCCACCGCCGCCGCCGCCGCGGTCGCCATCACCGGTGTCGGCGCCAGACCCCTGGGAGGGCCTCCTGCCGTCGACCAGTCCGCCGAGCTGTATTTCAGCTTGCGGGGAAAGCCCACAGTGATGGCGCCGTCCGTGACGCGATTGGCCGCGTCAGATGGGGACATACGGTGAGTGCTGGTTTTCTTCTTTTCTGCTTTTGGAACTGCCAATTCATTGGTCAAGGTCAAGTGGCCCGTCTATTTGGGTTTTGCTTTCGCGCCTGTTGGTCGGGGGCCCACAACGACGCAATTTGGCTACAACACACAATGCCGCCACGCCTTCTCCCCACCTGGCTGGCGCCTGTGCTTTCCCTGCGGCTGGATCTCCAGCGAGGGACACCCTGGGCGACACCCTGGGCAACAAAACGGCTCTGCGCGCTGGAGGTTCATTCCCTGATGCCGTTGCCGTGCCCAGGGCTGCCTGGTGCGATCCCAGCCCATTTGGCTGTGGGGGGTCTCGAAGCGGAAGCGAAAGCGAAAGCCCCCCAAAGACAAGACAGGTCTCCCTCAGAAAACGGGCCAGTGCATTTGTTTTGGCATCCTGTGTCGGCGCGGACGTGCCCCTTTCACTTTCATTCTTACTCCGGGCCCCTTTTGCCTTTCGGGAACTCGATACTTAGCGGGCAAGCGCCAGGCAACCGGTGCCCGCGTTCGAAGCCGCGGATCTGCCGCCGGGACGCGCGCTGAAGCTGTCGGCTTTTTTTTTTTCCTGTGCTAGCCCAACGTTGCAGTCGGCGGGTGGCTCGAAATGCAATTTCCACCATGGCGTCGCTGGGACAGCGGCTGTATGTAGTGTGGGTGGGTGCCTGGATTGGCGAGGTGGCCCCCCCTGCCTTAGCACCCATGGCACTATTTTAAAGCCCTCGCTCGCTGGTGTGGGAGCACACGACGCGGTTGATCGTGCAAGGCGAGAAAAAGGGCCCCACGGCCATGGCTTCTCAGCCCCGGCGATGCGCCCACGTTCTGACAGGGGTCACACACCCACGCCCAGAGCCAGCACGATGGACTATGGGCCTTTTTCGCGCTGGTGACGCACTAATCAGGAGACGCCTGTCTTCCCAATGGGACCTTGGGGCTCTTGGCGCCTCCGTCGGCTCCCCGTCGCGGTTTTAATATTAAATCCTTCTGCGAAGAGTCTGGGCGTTCGGGCTCTGGGGTCTCCGTGGGAGGACCGATAGCACGGCCGGCCTACATATCCATTCATTGTCTTTTTTTTTTTTTTTTTCATCCTGTCCGGAGCACTGCCATCCCGTGTGTTTTCGTCCTATATTTCATCCCTGCGTCTGCCCCCCGCCCTTGACGCACGCCCGAGACACGGCCAGCCAAAGTCTGCGAGGGTCACACTGAACACTAACAACCTGTGGCTTGCGGCACGCCTCCCTGGGAAAAAAAAGGCCTAGGATCCGTCACCAAAAACACCTTTCTGGCTCGGCTTCCTTCCCCTCAACTCCCGTCGAGAAAAATGAGGCCCTCTTGAGACCTCCGCCACGGCCTCTTCGCACCCACACGCGCGCGCCTACCGTCCAGGACGTCATGTCTTATCCCGCTGCCGTCCAGGTCATGCCAGCCGCGCAATATGACCCTTACCGCCCTCCAAACGACTACTACCCCACTGCCGGTCACTATGCCCATGCCACTGACCGGTCCGTGGAGCAGTCGGCTGAGGAGTTTGTGATGAGGACGGAACGGTCAATCGCGAGGGCCAGGGCTATGCAGCAGCAGCAGCAGCAGCAGCAGCAGCAGCCGTATAGGGATCAGGAGCTGCAGGGAAGGGCGCAGCAGTCTTATGAGCCAGCTCAGCAGCAGCAGCAGCAACGACAAGACCACCAGCAGTACCATCAACGCCATCGAGAGCAGCAGGGGCAGAGGCAGCAGCAATATCAACAACAAGATTTCCAACGCCACCAACAAGAGGCATACAGGCAACAGCATGGGTATGCGCATCCGGGGTATTTACAACAGGGCCAGGACCAGGGCCAGGGCCAGTGGTACCCCCAGCAGGAATATCCACAGCAGGAGTCTGGTCAATGGGACCAACATGATAGCCAACCGGAGTATGCGCAGCAGGAGCAGAGCCATACGTGCCGCCGCCCTCGGAATCATGACTACACACAGCATGGACATTGGCCACGAGAACAGCACCAACAGGGTGTGTCCCACGAACTGGCGGAGCAGCGCCACCCGAGTCGGGAGCAAGACCGGTACCAACCGAACTTGCAGAGTCAGCGCGGGCCGCAACCAATGCAGCAGCATCAGGAGCATTCAAGTCGACACAACCCCACTTATCAGCACCAGAGCCACCAAGGGCACCAAGGGCACCAGTACCACCAACACCAGCAGCAGCAGCAAACGCAGCAATACCAACACCCGCAGCCGCAGCCTCAGCCTCAGCCTCAGCAGCACGAGCAACAGCGGACGGCACCGCAGCAAAGGGACCGGACAGAGCAGCCGCAGCAGCCGCAGCAGCCTCAACAGCCGCCGCAGCCTCAACAGCCTCAACAGCAACCGCAAAAGCAACCGCAGCAGCAGCAGCAGCACAACCACCACAACCACAACCACAAACAACCACAAGTACCACCGCCACAGCCTCAGCAGCAGCAGCGACCAAATCCTGCCATTGCCCCCGCGACTGCCCTCCAAACACCAGTATCCGAGGCACGAACGATGCCTGAACGTCTCCCCGATGGCCCGCCTCGTCCGCTGGTGTATAACACTCCCCGGCGGATATCCAGCGCCAGTAGCGTGACCATATCATCGGCGGCAACAACTCCCTCGCGCGAGAGCTTCGAGTCACGGATGCGGAGCCCCAGCTGGGGCAGCCAGACCTCTCTCGAGTCGTTCTATTCGGCACACTCTGCCGCGCAGAACCCTCAATCCGGCTGGACTCCGGGCTTCGGGTGGCAGCGGCCGCCGCCCATCAAGGCGCGCCGGAAAGCGCGACCTGGCGAGCACTTCTCGGCTCTGCCTGGCGAGGTGCTGGAGATGATCTTGGACGAGGTTAAAAAGCTTCATCTGGCCCCTGGGTCTATGAGCTGCGCGACCTGCTGGATGAGGGACGCCTGTTCCGTGGCCCTGAGCTCGAGGAAGTGGCTGAAATATGCTAGGACCGCTTTGTAAGTCAACATGTCCCATTTCATTTTCTTCCCATTGCCAAGATGCCAATGGGTCCGTAGGTGCTTGTGCTGACGCCCGACTCTGGGGATGGTAGATACGAGGATGTGCTGCTAGTCGGACCAGACTCGGCTGTGCACAAAAAGAAGTACAAGGGTGTCACTGGGACGCGCCTTGTGCTCTTGCGGCGGTCTCTGCGCGCGAATCCCATTCTCGCTGCCACGGTGCGGTCGCTCAAGGTACCGGCAACGCCGCCGAGCGTTTCGGCAGAAGAGTACCAGAACATCGTAGCCACCGTGGTCATGGCCTGCCCAAATCTGGAGAGGGTGGTTGGGTTTTACCCAAGCTACGACCACTCGCACGGCCGGTTTTTCCAGGCGCTGTCGTCGCGCCAGCGGCTCAAGGACATGGTGTGGCTCGTCCAGCCATCCCCGTTCCAGCGGCAGCAGCGAATGCGACGGCCGACGGACGAGCAAGGGGCCGTGGTGAGCCAGCGGAGCCTCATCACGCCAGGAGACCTCCAGCCGCAGCAGGGAATCAACTGGCTGGAGAGCCACTCCAACTGGCGCTATCTCACCAGTCTCACTGTTCACTGCAACGCCGGCGCGACACTCACTCCCGACACGCTGCTGGTCGACACCCTAGCTCGCCTCCCCGCGCTTCGGACGTTGAATCTCTCGCACCTCCCGCACAACGCCTTCGGCGACGCTGCGCTCCTGTCACTGCCACCGCTAAAGAAGCTATCCATGTTCCATTTGTCGGGTATCTCGTCCGCCGGGCTTTCGGCGTTTGCTACCCGGCGGGAAAGCCGATCGCTAGAGTCTTTGACGCTCGTCCACATCGACATGGAGTCTCTCCCGGCGCTTGCTAGGGCGCTGTCGAACCTCACGTCGCTTGAGAGCCTCTCGCTGGTTCAGTCGTTTGCACCCGTGCTCCCCGCCGACGAGTTCATCTGGCTCTTCCCCTATCTCGCTTCTGCGTCGCTGAAGAAGCTGCATTGGGACGTGACATCGGCCGTCACGCAGGCCAGCGCGACGGATTCGATTCTGGCGAGGAGCATCGCGGCCAACGGCTTCCCATCGCTTCGCCGTCTTCGGGCCCCTGCGGACCCAGAAGGCGTCTTCCAGTCGCTCTGCAAGCCTCAGGAGAATGTTAACCTGCCCCTTGATCGCTACCGACACCCGAACCAGAGGCCCGATCACTCCCGAGCCGCGAGCGCGGCAAGCTCGCAGCCGTCATCCGACACGGGCTCCAGGCCCGGAGGCGGCTTCACGCCCACGCCCACCAGCCCCCATTTTCCCGCCGATTCCGGCATCTTGATGGCGGCTGGGGCTCCCAGGCCCAGCAGCAATCTGCATCATGCGCGGCTCGCGGCGCAGGCCAGACTCGAAGCAGCAAGGCAGCATCACAAATTCCTCGTCAAAGTGACGGACGAGGACGGCTCCCTGGTGGAGCAATTCGGGCTCGGCGCTTTTATGGGAGATGCGGCGTCCAAGATCGCGTACCATCTGCTCCCGGACCCTGGCGCGCTTGACGAGAAGGGCGGCCTGGTGGACGTGGCCGACCTCGTCAACGAATGCGGAGAGGACCTGACGGGTGCAACCAGTGCCGCCGCCTTGGCCGTCGAGGGCCGAGAGGCGCCGGTGGCGCTCAGCAAGAAAGAGAAGGAGAAGCTACAGCGGGAGAAGTCCAAGGCGGGCGACGATTCCAAGGCCCGGGAGGGCTGTCAAGGGCGGTGGAACACGTTCAGCGGCGCCGTCATCGACAAGAAGGATAAGGAGCGCTGGTTCCACACGGAAAGAGGCCGGTGGAGGGGAGTGACACTCTCGTGAGACGCCACCGTTTCACTCGGCCTGATGGTGACGGGTCGGTGGTGCATGACAGACTCGAGGCTGCGCCGCACTGTAATTATTGTTTTTCACAAGCGCCTGCATCCCACAGGACTCTTACGAAGCGACATGATGGACGGGATTTGGATCGTGGGCATTTGGATGTCACTGCCTCTTTCCTGGATCCCTTTTTCTTTTTGTTTATCGGTCATGGACGACTACGTGTATATAATGAATGACCACTTTTCTACGTATGTAAATATGAAATATGACTAGCGGTTGCAAATGAGGAAGTTTCGACCATCTGAATCAGTTTTCGGCCGGCGGGGTTAAGCAAGCCGGGGCTCGGCAAAGCGGCTTTTTGTGGAGAATTCTTTGAAATGCACCGACCGACGTCACCTTTTTTTGTTCCCTCTCATTCCCCAACTCCAACAGCACCCATCGCAATCCCCGACGCAGGACAAAGACGGACATATCCCCTTTACCACAGCAGCGCTCATCGTGCCATCCACCCCCAACCTTGACCGGGCCCGACGATGATGCACCACTCGATCGCGAGGCGCGCAAGGCCACGGCCGCGGCAGCTCGCCAGCCTCTGCGCGGCCTACGCCCCCGTCGCCAGCTTTTCCACATCCTCCCCCTCCCCCTACGGCACACACAAAAACACACCAGCAACCCAACCGCCACAGCGACCGTTCGCCCCGCCGACGCCCCGACCCCGCGCTGGCCTCCTGCCCAGGCCCGCGCCGTCGCCGCCGACGGCAGCAGCAACAACAGCAACAGCGCGGGGGCTCTCCACAAGCACGGCCGCCGCAAGCCCCGCAGCCCAAGGGTCCCAGGGCGGCGCCGCTGCAGGACAACCCCCGGACGACGCGCACCAACAAAAGCCAAAGCCAAAGCCGCCGTCCGGCGAGCCCGACTACTACGCGCTCTTCCCGGAGACGCTGGCGGCCGGCCCGCCGCCCGAGGGCCCCTTCGAGCTGGACGCGCGCGCCCTCCACCGCGAGTTCCTGCAGCTGCAGGCCGACGTGCACCCGGACTTCCACCACCACGCCTCCTCCTCCTTGGCAACGGAGACGGCCCGCTCGGCGGCCCGGCGCCGGGCCGAAGCGGCGTCGGCCAACGTCAACGCCGCCTACGAGACGCTGTCGTCGCCGCTGGCCCGCGCCGGGTACCTGCTGCGCCGCCTCTACGGCCTGGACGTGACCGGCGAGGGGGTCGGGGCCCTGGTGGCGCCCGACGGCGAACTGCTGGACGAGGTCATGACGGCGGCGCAGCGGATCGAGGAGGCGGGCGCGTTGGAGGAGCTGAAGCCGCTGCGCGAGGAGAACGACGCGCGCGTCAAGGCCGACGAGGCCGCCCTCGCCGAGGCCTTTGCGAGGGACGACCCGGACGCGGCCGTCGCGCTCGTCGTGCGCCTGCGTTACTGGCTCAATGTTAGGGAGTGGATTGATGAGTGGCAGCTTGGCCGGCCTGTGCTTATGTGAGCATTAGGCATTAGGAAGGAGGGGGGGTTGGGTGTCTCTGCTGCATGGATAACGCAGATATTCAACCTGGTGTAGACTGGTCTTTTAGCATTCATAGCTGCTGTTTTCTTCTCTACTCGCTGTATTTGTAAAAAAAAAGAGACTGGCATGTTTGTATGATGCGATTACGTTGCAGTCGTGTCCGGTCAATAGTAACCGCGCTTCTCTCCCATGGCTCTCCTTACGTTTGAGGATGCTGATAAGGGGCAAGCTACAAAAGAGACGGGTCTCGCGGCATCCATTTTCAGGCTTTGCAGCGTTTAACGAAGCATCCTCGCTATATACAAACAGAACCTCAACGAGAGCAAGGAAGGATCAAAGTAGGCGTCATGGTTGAAAAAAAGCTTGGGATATACTTGTCCTTTCCCGGCGATCGGCGTGCCAGCGTCAAACCATGGACCAAGGACTGAGAAGAAGAAAATGAGCGAAAGAAGAGAAAACGGAGGCGATTCTATATACAAGCCCTTTCCGCGGGGCCATCGCCAACTCCCAACACCCCGGCCGAGGCCTAGGTCTAGGAGCAGTAGAGTCTTGGGACATTCTGCTGGGAAAGGGGGAGAGAGGGCCATGACAAGCCACTTTAAGCAGACCACTCGACCGCCCGCTTCTCACCTCCTGGCGGAGCGGGGGTTCCGGGGCAATCGTGAGCAACCTCGGGCGCCACGTCAGGAGCGCGGCGGGCGGGCTTTCCCGAGGCGGGCGAAGCAGGAGCGGTGCCGCCAGCACCTCCCTGGGGCGCCTGTTGGATCGCAACCATGCCGCCAAAGGGGCCCGCCTGTGTATGTGTGGCAATACACCGTCAGCGAAACGAGACTAACTTGATCGGGGCGCTAAGTGAGTTGTCGGCCACGACGGCTTACCGGGTTGCTGTCGGCAATCTTGACCAGGCAGACGTTTTGCTGGTCCTTGATGGTACCTGTGCACTTGGTCCCCGCCGGGATGGTGAACTTGACGGGCTGTTTCGGCGTTGCCAGGTTAGCGCGCCCTGGGATAACGGCCAGCAACGAAAAGACAAGCACACGCAATGGGGGCCGTCCGGGCTTACATGGTCTGTGTTGACGTGGGCGGCGCGCTTCACGATGAGGCCGGTCGATGCCAGGGCGTCCCAGGCGCGCTCGAGCAGGGTCCGCTTGTTGTTGTTGTTCCGGCTCGCGCGGATGTTGCCGTTCCTGCCGGGCACCTGCTGGTCGACGTTGAGCAGGACGCCCTTGGAGAAGGCCCCGGTCGCGTTCGGGTCCAGCGGGCCGGCGCCGTCGGTGGTGACGATGTGGAAGACGCCCTGGATGGAGCCGCCGTCCGACACCTGCGGCAGCGCGTTGCCGGACTGCGCCATAGCCAGGTCGATCATGTCCACCGTGTTCCTGCCGTTCTTGTTGGTCCTGCCCAGGCCGTCCGTCTTGATGTTGGTGCTCCGGAAGACGGTCGTGTCCACCTCGGTCTGGCTCCCAGGGTCATTACATGTCAGTCGCGTGTCCATTCTAATGTGGAAAGATATACGCCACTCGCCTTGCGGTTGGGGCCAGGCTCGAGGACAACGCCGCCAAGGATTCCGAGCCCAGTGGTGTTGCCGCCCAAGTCACCTGTGACGACTGCAACTTTACCATGGGCCGCAACGAAAGGAGAGGCTGCCAGGGCCAAGACGAGGGCGTTGAACAACATTTGGACGATCGATCAAGGATAGCAGAGAATCTGGAGACAGTGAGGGGGTCTCTTGTGTGTGGGACGCTATCGTGGAATTCCAATGTAGATAAATACTAGGTCGCACTGGAATCAAGTCAACCAAAAGGGGCACGATTTAGCCGGCCAGGAGAAGGAAACCGTAGGAATAGTTAATTTTGATATGCTTTCACAGCCTGAGTATAGACATTCCTACCCATGAAAGCACCGAAGAGGGCACAAGGGAGATATATAGCTGACTTGTGATGCCAGCCTGCGGGCATGGATATGGCTCACTTGCAAGACGCATTTCAAAGTAGCCGCTTACCATGACGGCGAGGCCAGGCACGTTGATCGCGCAGTGTTGAGGCCGGATGGCCGGTATCGCCACTTGGTAAGGACCCGGGCCTCAGTAAGGAGCCCGGCAGCCGTTGACGCCGCCAAGGGCATCCGTCCCTGCTTGACGGACGATCCCATCTCCGGACGGAAGCGCATGAAACGAAACATTTGGTGATTGAGTCTCCTGGCGTCGCGACGTGGGGTCTCGCCAAGGGCATCCCCTGGTGAGGGTCTTGATGACAGCGGGAGATGGTCCGAGGATTTGCGGGGGGAGCTTGATCGTGCTTGGCACATGGATATCGGCTCGGGATGCCCTCAGAGGCTGCTGGAGACGCTCGAGACAGTCCAAGAAGCCCAGGTACCGAGCTTGCACAAAGACGGGCTCGAGTCAGCTATCGCCCTGGCACCCTGGGCTACTCGCAGCCAGCGTTGGGGCGAGTCGGGTTCCTATCGAGACGTGATGGCAGGAAAAGCTTCGCCCAGGACCTGAAGCGGCCAGCAGATGTGCCGTTTCCGGATGCGGCGTCGTGGACCCATGCACTTGGAGAGAAGACAAAAATGCCAGGTGGGGATGTGAGTGGTCTAGCCTGAAGGACCAGATGAGATTCGTTTCAGCCCATTCCATGCTGTGGTTGCTGGTTGGATCGTTTGTCCAAACAAGACATGAAGATGGAAGCGCTGGCAGGGATAGAGGGAGATTTGATCAAAGACCAGCCCAGGACAGGTGAGGAAGCTCCGATTACCGTGCGACCCACCCACATCCGCCTGCCCCACTAGCTGCGACGGCCCCTCTTGGAGCTCTGTTCCTCTGTTCTAGGCAACGTCCAAAGTCTAACTGGCTGCTTGCCAACAACCACCAAACAGCTCCTCCTCAACGGCGCTCCATCGACCTGAGCATGTCAAGAGCAGACCCGGCCCACCACCACCGACCAAGCCCCGACGACGTCGCCACATAAAACTAGAGACGAACAAGCGGGCACCTAGGCACCCAGGCACCCAGGCATAGCCCCGCCATCCTCTTCCCCGCATCTCCGCCGTCGCCCCAGCCTCGGTCCCGGGAAGCGTCCGGAGCGGGCTCCTAGCTTTAACACGCCCCCCCTCCCACGCCCACGCCTTCACACCCACCCCACACCCCCCCTCGAAGCGTCATGGCCTCGCCCAAGGTCAGCGAGGCCCTGGCCCAGATCGCGGCGTCGGGCAGCAAGGGCGCCGACTACGAGGCCCTGCTCGCCGACTTCCCGTCGTACTCGTCGGCCCCGACGGCGGCGGCCGACCTCAAGGCCACCATAGACGCCGTGTTCGCCGCGCCGCTCAACATCGTCGGCACCCTCCCCGTGCTCAACGCCTTCGTGGCGGCGCTGCCGCGGGCGGCGCCCGGGGACCACGACGCCTGGGTCGACGTGGCGGCGCACGCGCTCGACCGCATCGCCGCCAACCCGCAGACGGCGTCGAGCTTCCTCGAGCAGGCCAACGCGCTGCGCGAGCTGACGGCCACGGCGCACGAGCACAACGAGGACTGGGTCGGGGCGGCCCGGGCCCTGGCCGACATACCGCTCGACAGCAGCCAGCGGCGCGTGGGCGAGGCCGAGATGGTGCGCGTGTGGATCCGCATCGTGCGCAACTACCTCGAGGCCGACGACAGCACCTCGGCCGGCTCGTACCTCAACAAGATCAAGAACGTCATCTTCAAGGTGGACGACCCGGACCTGAACCTGCACTTCCGCCTCTCGCAGGCCCGCATCAACGACTCGCGCCGCGAGTTCCTGGCCGCCTGCCACGCCTACCACGAGATCAGCATGAGCCACCAGATCGGCGAGGACGAGCGCCTGCACACCCTCGGCATGGCCGTCAAGTGCGCCATCCTCGCCCCCGCGGGGCCCCTGCGCAGCCGAGCCCTCGGCCGCCTGCACCGCGACGAGCGCAGCCCCGGGCTCGACGAGTTCGGCATGCTCGAGAAGATGTTCCTGGACCGGCTGCTCGAGCCGGCCGAGGTGGACAAGTTCGCGCGCGGCCTGCAGCCGCACCAGCTAGCCACCACGGCCGACGGCTCCACGGTGCTGGTAAAGGCCGTCATCGAGCACAACCTGCTCGGCGCCAGCCGCCTGTACGATAACATCGGCTTCGACGAGCTCGGCGACCTGCTCGGCCTCGACGCCGCAAAGGCCGAGGAGACGACGGCCCGCATGATCGAGCAGGGCCGCCTCGTCGGCCGCATCGACCAGATCGACCGCTTCATCTGGTTCGAGGGCGGCGAGGCCTCGGGCGTCAAGGGCAGCGGCCGCGCCGAGGCCGCCGTGGCCAAGGAGATGAGGCGCTGGGACTCCAACGTCCAGAGCCTGGCCGAGGAGGTCGAGCACGTCACCGGCCTCTTGCAAAAGGAGTTCCCTGTAGGTTGTTGTTTGATTCATGACCCACCGCCCTGTCGCCCCCTTTTTTTTTGCACACCACACGCCCCTGCTGACGACTTTTCACAACCCCGGCAGGACTTTGTTGCGGCAAACCTAGTCGTCTAAGACCTGAAACCAACATGCTGGGGACTAGACGGCAGCGCTGGCGCATGGTTCACTTGGGCTTTTGCAAAAAAAAGAAAAAAAGAGGGGGCGCTCTATTCTGCGTAGAGTGGTATAGAACAAAAGCATGCAAGATAGATGGACTTGCAGGAACAAGGCCGAGTGCCCAAGTGGTGGTCCATTGTAACAAAACCAAGAATAGATCCAAACGGCGTCGATGTAGACGTGTGTATCTGAGAGGTACCTCTCAATATAGCCAAAATGGTAGGTACCTAGATCGGTCGGGGATATCCTGATGCTCATTCCAGGTCCTTTTTCCTCACGACGACGTACCCCTGCCCCAGGCGCGTCGAGTCGCCCGACTCCTCGTCAAAGACCAGATTGTCGTCCTTGAAAACCTTGCTGCGCGCCCGCCTCGACCGGGTGGTGGCTGCTGCTGCTGCCGCCGTCGGCGCCGCCGCCTGGTCCTGTGTCTTGGCCGGCTGCGGGCCACCACCTGGCGTCTCCCCGCGGAGGACCTCGAGGAACCGAGCGGCTATCTTTTGGCCCATCAGATCGTATCCGCTCGGGGTCAGATGGACATTGTCGTCCCAGTGCAGCCGTCGGTCGTTCTCGGACATGGCCCAGAATGGGACGGCCGCGTGGTGGTCATGGACATATCTGGTGGTCCCAGGCGCCCAGAGGGGGGGTGGGTATTTGTGATCCGAAAGTTAGTCATGTGTGCAGTGCGAATGCCAGGCTCGATCCAAATATGCGTCAAGTCACAAGAGGCAGGCTGCGTGGGGAATCTGGATGACAGGGAGGGGTGAGGGAGAAATAGGAAGGGGGTGGCAACAAGAAAATAGAGAAAAAGAGCATCAAGGGGCGGCATGCCACTGTGTGACATGACCAGCGGGGCCGAAGGCAGATGTACAAGCGGAGGTACAGTCCAGGGGCAGATGCCAGAAGAGAAAGGGGGCGTCCAACATATTTCCACCCTCAGCGTTCTTGATGAGCCGGTTCAGCTCGTCCCTCCGGCTGTTGACGAGCGCGCTGCCCGTGACGCCGACCTCGGGCACCGTCAGGACGAGCACCTTACTGCCGTGCGCCTGGGCGACGCCCCAGCACTTAGAAAGGTTCTCAAAGACGGCCTCGGCGGTGCGGTTGTACGCCAGGTCGCTGTACAAGGGAAAAGGGTGGAGGGAAACACGGCGATTCGGTGCCACGTTTCCCACGTTGCGACTGGTCAGCAAAACTTGTAGCCAGGATCAAGAGCTATGGAATGAGGTTGGTCTGGCCGTGCCAGGGGTTTGGGTCTATCTTGTGTGTTGTGGCTGGTGGAAACGCAACTTTGTGCCCCCGAGCAGTATGGTCCAATCATAGCTAGGCTTTCCTGGCCCGACTGGATGAGAGGAAACAAGAGGAAGGAGGCGCGAGAGTCAGCAGGGATGTATATAACCACCAAATTCATGAATGGCATGCCTCCCTTTTTAGAGGGGACAGGCACCGCCCATGGATGGACAAAGGGGAGATTGCCCATGGCTTACAGTGGGGGCCCAATCGAGAAAGGAAGCCGGTCGTGGTGTCGCCCGGCCTTCCATCCACCACCGTCTCGATCTCGACGTCTGGGAGGGCAGGCCGAAGCAGCTCTACCATCTGTTCGCTGTACGGCCTGTAGACGGTGCCGAGAGACGCGTAGCCCGCGGTCAGGGAGTCGCCAAAGCAGAGGATACGAAGCTTGTTTCTGGCCATGTTTTTGGAGCGTTCGTTGACGTGCGTCCACAGCGACAGATGGGCTCGCCCTTTTTCGATTTGATTTTATGGGAAATGGACTGTACTCGTCCGGCAACGGGGAATCCTTGCAGAGGCACGAGGAGCGAGGAGGGACGCGCTGGTGTCAGGTGGCCGTCAAGCCTGAGTATCTGAGGTTGGGAGCTGGGTCATTCTGAAGCTGGAGCTCGACAGGTGCCTAGGCTAGCTGAGCCTAGCCTCTGCGGGAGGAGCTTGGGGTTGGTCATCCGCAGCATGGCTCGTCATAGGTGGGGCAAGTCCGCTGCGCCCGTTTGTCGAGGCGCTTCAAAAACGGACAAGGGCTGGCAGGCCGTCCGAATTTCGTCCGTCTCTTTATCCTTTTTCCATTGCCACAGTCCATCTCTCATGCGCAATTCCATGCCTCCGCAATTCCATGCCCCCGAGTGCTTCTGTCCCTGGATCGGGCCCACCCCCTCGCTGTGATTTCGGCACTTGATGCGATTGGAAGACACGAAGCAACAAAACGGTTGTCAAGCTTTCGAAGGCACGAGAGGAGGGGCAGTCCCTGCATACTCGGCGCGGGCGGCTCCAGTATAGTTTTGCGTGTCGGCGGAGACACATGCAAGGATGGCACAGAGCCAACGTTGAACGCCATCTGCCATCTTCAGCAGCTTCTTTGTGGCCATTTGAGTTTTAACAGGCTGGGTTTCGTTGGCGTGGAAAAGGACATGCCTCCTGGACCGATCCCTCCTGCTCGTTGGCCAGTGGAATCATGTTGCGGGCAAACTTCTCGTCCATCTTCCTCTCTCTATGGTTCTTGGCAACAAAGTGCCTACCCTGCCCACAAGGTAATCAGGTGGCGGCCATTCAAATGGCATCGGGCAAGGCGGGAATGCGGCAATGCCACGAGCCCAGATGCTGGGAACACCACCACACCACCAAACCCCGAAAGAATCCACCCCTTGGCCGGCCTATTAGGCAAGCTTGCCGGGGCGGACGTGCAGCACAAACTGCCGACGACGAATACCAGGGTGACATTCGAGGTTTCGCTCCTCCGACGGGCCTTGCCGTTTCTTCGCTGGGACACTGTGGCACCACCCAGCCCGGGGCAGACGAGGCTTTGGGGGTGCCGCGTTTGGACAAGCAAGCAACGCAGTGATGCGTCTTGGCTTCTCGAGGCGTCGCGACTGGCTGCCCCGGGGCTGGGTGCTGAGTGAAGCCTACTGTGTACGTGGGCTGTCCGCACTCGGTATTTGAAGCGCCGAATCACACGGAAAATTAAGATCCACCAGTGGCCCGGCTCTCTTGGAAGCGCGAGGGCGTTGCTAGCGTGGCGAAGAGCCGTTGGGGGGTTCCGGGCGGCTCCGGCGCCTGGCTTATGCTCGCGTCTGGCCAGGCCCAGCGGCCCACCCGCACACGACGTTGCGCAGGAGGTGGTTGCGCAGAAGGTTGTGCCAGCCAGCTGTCGGCAGCCACCTGCAACTGCTCCTTTCAGGTTGGTTGCAGCTGGCGGCAGGGCGGAAGCGTCGAGCATCCCGTCGGAACCGCAACCGGGATTCGACGGCTCGTATCTGTGTCGTCATGCCAGTGGCGGCTGTGGCGCGCGCTTCCCAGGGCCGGAGGAGACCGGGAGTGCCGCGTCTGACGGGGTTGCCGCTCGTGACAGCACCACAGGTTGCCCGCGTCGGTCGGCCCCCATCCCCATGGGGCGTGGAGAGGCGGAGGAGTCGAGTCCACATTTGCAACAGATTCATCGCTGCCACCTTAGTCATGAAGTGGTGACTGGCTGGTGGGCCGTGGCAGGGGCGGGTGGCCCAGATCGCGTCGAATCACCCCTGTGCGCCTTCTCTTTCTGTGCCTTTTTTTCTTCCCTCTACTGCTCTTAGGTTTGCTTGCTTCTTACCGCGGTTACCTGCGCAGGTGGTCCGTCCGCCCGTTGTTCCATAAAGGAAGGACCTAACCTGAGCTAAAAACCAAAAGGGTCAGGGTCGTTACGTCCAGATCGCGGGCAAGCAGCACAAGATTCTGGGCAAGCTTACAAAATGACGGGCAAGGTGTTTGACGCGGCAGAAGGTGAGTGCAGAACCTAGCATCAATGATGCATCTCGACGGCTGGGGAGCAGCAGCTGTCGATCGCCGGGTGCTGGGTCGCTGGGTCGCTGCTGGAACGCTGGAACGCAGGAACGCTGGATTGGCACCGACCAAGGCTAGTCAGCATCCCTTTGCGCGCTCCCCATTGGCCCGTTCCGATTTCGGAGCATCACCACGCGCATTGGATCGCATCGGATCGCATCGCTTGGCTGACAGCACGTTCGCGTCGTCGCACGCCCTCCCCCAGTTGCCAAACACAACTCGCCCGAGAGCTGCTGGGTAATCCTGTACGGCAACGTCTACGATGTCACTGACTTTGTGCCCGAGCACCCCGGCGGCTCCAAGATCATCCTGCAGCTGGCCGGCCGCGATGCCACCGAGGACTACGACCCCGTCCACCCGCCCGGAACCCTCGAGGAGAACCTGAAGCCCGAGGCTAAGCTGGGCGCCGTCGACCCCGAGAGCCTCAAGCGCCTGCAGCAGGATCAGGCGCAGGAGAGGCAGATCGCCGTCGTGACCCCGGCCACGGACCCGCCCGCCGCCCTCGAGACGCTCTTCAACCTGGACGAGATGGAGGAGGCGGCCCGGAAGCAGGTGTCGCGCAAGTGCTGGGCTTACTACTACTCGGCCGGCGACGACCTGTTCTCCAAGAACTACAACAACCACGTCTACCGCTCCATCTTGCTGCGGCCGCGCGTCTTTGTTGACTGCACTCGCAGCGACCTCTCGACCTCACTGCTCGGCCACCGCGTCGGCACGCCCCTCTACGTCGCGCCCGCCGCCATGGCCCGTCTGGCACACCCGGACGGCGAGAATGGAATCGCGCGCGGCATCTCGTCCTTTGGCGGCGTCCAGATCGTCAGCAACAACGCCAGCCAGACGCCCGAGCAGATCGTCGAGGGCGCCGCCCCGGGCCAGATTTTTGGCTGGCAGCTGTACGTGCAGACGGACGTGCGCAAGAGTGAGGCCATGCTGGCGCGCATCGGGCGCCTGCGCGACCACTACAAGTTTATCGTCCTGACGCTGGACGCGCCCGTGCCGGGAAAGCGCGAGCTGGATGAGAAGCAGCAGTTCGAGGGCGCGTCCACCGTCACGGCCGCCGCCTCCATCGGTAAGCCCGAGGAGCGGCGGCCCGGCGGCGGCGGCGTCGGGCAGCAGCTCTTTTGGGGCACGGCGGCGGACCTGACGTGGCGCACGACCCTCCCTTGGCTGGCGAGCAAGACGGACCTGCCCATCGTGATCAAGGGTGTGCAGACGCACGAGGACGCCTACATCGCGGCCCAGCACGCGGCCCAGTACGGCACCGTGCGCGCCATCATCCTATCCAACCACGGCGGCCGCGCCCTCGACACGGCCCCGCCCGCCGTGCACACGCTGCTCGAGATCCGCAAGTACTGCCCCGAGGTCTTTGACCACGTCGAGGTCTGGGTCGACGGCGGCATCAAGCGCGGCACCGACGTGGTCAAGGCCCTGTGCCTCGGCGCAAAGGCCGTCGGCGTCGGCCGCGCCGCTCTGTACGGCCTGGGTGCCGGCGGCTGGCGTGGTGTCGAGAGGACGTTTGAGAGTGAGTTTTTTCTTCCTTTTTTTTCCTCGGTACTTTTTAGGCATCTTTACAAGTTTGGCTTTTTGCCCCTCTCCGGCTACAACAGTCATCTGCCCAAGACCACAAACTGACGAAAGCTTTCTGCGTCTGATTAACCTTGTAGTCCTCAATGCCGAGATGACAACGTGCATGAAACTCCTCGGAGCACAGAAAGTGGAGGACCTGGGGCCCCAATTTGTGAGTCGCGGCGATCCCTTCTGTCGCATCAGGCAACCCCCCTAGTCTCGGCAAGCACATGCTGCTGCAGTGCACGCAGCTGACCCCAACTCGATGCCACAAAACCAGATCAACTCCAGGATGGTCGAGCGCGACATCTACGACGGGCCTGCGGGGCTGGATGGCCTCCACCTCTGGGCCAAGGCCAAGCTCTGAGGGGATGTGGGGGCGGGCTGCCTCGGCTCTTCATGCGGGTTGGCAAGGCGATCACGCGGGGAAGCCAAGACCTGACATGGGCGCCAACAGGGCAACAGGGGTAACCTCCCTCGTTCCTGCGAGGATGGCTGGGCGTGTGGAATTGCCCCGCATCTATTTCATCTATTTCATCTATTGCATCTATACGCTGCTATACGCTCCTCGGTTACACTCTGGCGTATTTAAATGCGCCCTTTTTATTCCTTTGAATTTAGCTCTTTGATTTGGTTTGCTAGCACTGGTAGACACAATTTGCGTCGATTTAGATCAGCGGAAAATAACAGCCAATGTTTGTGGAGAGATTCTGCTGCATTTTGAATAATATCCTTTTTCTGTGCTCACCCATGCCAGTCTCTAATTCCCAGCCTAGAGCGGTTCCTTCCCTCTGCCTGCCGGCCAGGACGCCTCATCGCAAGAGCTCCTTGGTTCGCTGTAGCTTCTCCTCGACCCCCTTCGGATCCTTCGCCCCGGCCTGCTATGTTTCTCTTTTGTCTTCTCAAATTACCAGGTCGGTCTAGCCACTTGTTACGAGGCCTAGCACGTCCAGAAAGCCTGCTTGTCAATCGCGCCAAACGCAAATGACGTGCCCAATCCGCGCTCCCGTTGGCGGTGCCTGGAAACCCAATTGACATTGGAGGGAGGGACCTGCCTGATCCGGTGCTAGGGTTGCGGCCTAGCAAAAACGGGGCGGCTCTTGTCATGTTCGCACGGCGACACAAATCTCCCACATGCACCGCACATGTCAAAAAAATAAATAAAGATGTGTTTTACTTCCCACCCCCACCACCCCCTGAAGCCTCTCAATAACAACAACAAAGCCGGGGGAGACTTTTTGGTTGGTGTGTGGCACGCGAGGAGGGGGGGAAAATTACGAATGCCTGCGAAGGGATGGGGTCCTGCTTCCCCATTGGGCGCCACGCCGAGGAAGGCCGGGACGATCTAGAAAGAGACAAACGAAGAAAAAAAAGGAGAGAGGCGAGGTGGTAGCCAACTGGTCCATCGGTCGTAGGTTTTGACGGGGCCAGAGGAGTACAGGGAGCCAGGAAGGGAAAGTCAGCCGAGCCTCTCAGTGGCCAACCCGACCGGGTCTCCGTCGGAGCCCACCCACACGCACGACTCGGCCATGGGGTAAGCGAGCGGTACCCGTAAGTGAGTGGGTGACAGGCGGCGTTGCGATGCTGCCTTGTAACCTTCTTTTTTTTTTTGATGGAGCAAGTTTTTGCCGGCTGGCTATTTTGAGGGGGGTGGGGGTGTATTTGCCCACATGCATGTGCTTTTCGTTCGTCCAAAAACGACCCCTTCTCCATCTCGTGGATACGTCGCTTGTAAGAGGATGCTCCTATCCTACCTACCTATTTAATCCACGGTGCCCAGGGTCGCGCCCCCAAACGGTTGTGACGTCTCGTCGTCTGGTGTTCTTACTTATTACCCCGGCCTCGTCCTTTCTCCAAGCTCAACACGGGTGGTTGTCACCGAGACTCGCCCTCATCCCGTATACTTGTTCTTGCGCCGACGTATATAAAGAATCTCGAATACCTTCCCAGTCGCCAAGGGAAGGAAAGAAATCAAGCTCAGCCGAGCTAGCCAGAGACGACCCGGCAGGCAGCCGCCGATCCAAAGATCCCTGCTAGATAAGCTTCACATCTCAGCGGGGGTTTTTCTTTTCTTTTCGCGAAACGTTCGATTTCCTTTTTCTCGCACGCACCCGGCCCGCTGCGTCACGCACGGCCAGACATCGGAGACGGCCGGGAAACGGGGGAGCAGGCACGGACGCAGCGGCGTGTAAGCGGATCCGGGACCAGCTCGAGATCGCAAAACACCCATCGACGCTGCTACCCTGCCGTATTTACCGTTGAAATACTTTTTGTTTTCTTCCTTTCTTCCCTTTCCCTCTTTGTGGGCCTTCTTCTTCACCTTTTTTCTTCTACTTCTTCCTGGGTGCTGCGCCAACCCGTCCTTCGTCGCCAAAAATGTCCGACAAGGGCACCAGCGACCACGTCGCCCGGCCGCTGGACGGCGCCGCGGCAGGATCCGGCAAGAAGAGGGGATGTGGCGCCCACATGAAGCGCAAGTGGTGGGCGTATCTACTCGGCCTGATCGTCCTCGTTGTCATTTTGGTGCCTGTCTTGTAAGTCGCGGAAGCAAAGACGTGCCGCGAGCTTGTCAGTTTGGGAGACAAGACACAGAAGAAGAAATGAGGCTAAAACTGAACCCCAACCAGAATCCTTGTCGCGGTCCCCAAGATCGCGCAAAAGAAGATTGACGAGGCCCAGCTCGAGATCCGGGCCTTCTCCGCCCTGAACACGCAGAGCGAAAACTTCACCCTGGGCATCGACAGCGTCATCCGCACCGACGGCTCCGTCCACGCCACCATCGCCGGCTTCGAGGGTGTCATGTACCTCGAGGACTGGGCGCCCCAGCGGCCCTTTGCGCGCGTGCACTTCCCCGAGACCACGAGTGACGCCTACCAGGAGGTCCGGATCGAGCAGTTCACCCCGATCGACGACATGGACGCCTTCACCGTCTACAACACGTGGCTGCTCATAAACGAGACCCTGCGCGTCACCGTGAGGGGGGACACCACCGTGCGCGTCAGGGGAATCGACCGCGCCTACCCGGTGCTCTTCAAGAAGACCCTCACCGTCCCCGGCCTGCGCCTGTTCGAGGGCACCGTCGTGAGGGACCCAGCCATCTCCCTCACGGGGGACGCCCAGGGGAACAACTTCAAGGGCATGGTCGACATCCCCAACCACTCGCAGGTGACGTTTGAGATTGTGAGTCTAATGAAGTCGCGGCTTGTCGTTGAGGAAAAAACCGCATGTGCGTTATGCTGACTTTTGCCGACTCAGGGCAACGCCACTTTCCACAACTACCTCAACGGCGCCGAGATCGGCACCGTCTTCATCAACAACATGATCCTGCGCCCGGGCAACAACACCTTCCCCATGAACGCCAAGGTCGAGAACGGGCCTGTGCTCACCTTCATGAGCACCAGGCCCGCTTGCGAGACGGGCAGCGTGCCCTTCCAGCTGCGCGGCAAGGACGTTGTCAACAACGGCCAGCGCCTCAGCTACTTCGCTGACTCGCTCGCTAGCGCGAACCAGACCGTCAACATCGACATAGGGGGCGCCCTGAGGCACCGCAACGTAACCATCGCTTGCAGGTCTTGAAGAGATGACGATGGAGGTATTGGTAATGGAGTGAGTAATGAAGGCGTCGGCTGTGGATTCGAGACGGTTAGGATAATGGCTGAGCTAGTCCTCCGTAGGACTCGCCATCCGGCCGCAACCTGTCGAGTCTGAGCCGGCCAGGAATGTGTGCTTGGAATTCCTTCTCGTTTTTGTCCATCTTTTGATACCATGGGCTGAGTGCGAATCTGTGGTGTGGCAGCGGTGCTTAATGCTGGGACACGGATGGGTCGGTATTTTGTTTATCTTTTGCATTATGGCGAGCTATCAAGCTCCTGGATGAATACGAATCGTGTAGCTAGCCGCTGCCGGCCATTATGTGAACTGGCCGAAGCGATAATCCCGGGTTATCCAACCTCGGCCACTCGAGATGATTAGATATAGACTCCTGCCATGGCAAAAGTCTGGCGCATTGGCGGGCCGCATGCTTTGCATCTTCTATTGGTTGTGGCTTGTCTAGCCTCGTCCTCCGCTTCATGCCCGCCGGGCAGAAGACGAGGACACAAACTCAATGGCATCCCTCTGGCCGCTTGTCCTCTCGGCCTCCCGCTCCTTCTGAACCTTCTCTTGTGCTTTCCTCAGTTCGCCACGGAAGGCCCATTCGGGAAGGCTTGTCGGGTCCCAGATATCGGGCGGGAGGACCGTGATGTACTGGTCCGCCACCGAGTTTGTAGGAGCCAGCGCCGGTGCTCCTTTGGAGGCTCCCGGCCGGCTTTTTGTTTCACCAGCCGCGACGGGGTCCTCGAGCCCAACAAAGTCGAGGAGCTTGTCCATCAGGGACGGGTTTCGCATGGCCGTCGACTGAGCCAGGCGTGCGTTGAAGTGTGTTCCCTTTTTCCGCTTCAGCTCCAGGAAAGTCTCAAACTTGGCCGTCAGCGCTCCAAGGCTGGGAGGCGGAGTTCCTGGAGGCGAAGGTGGAACGTCCAGGTTGGGGACCGGAGGGAGCGTCAGGTCTCGCAGCAACGCCCGGTCGGCCGTGTAGGGCGACTGGGGACGTGACGACGGGTCCAGGCTGTCTAGGAAAGCGGCTGCATCTGCGTCTGTCTGCATCTGAATGGCTTCTTCCCCTGTTGGTAGGCTGGGCCCTAGCACTGGCGCATCCTTAAGAGCCTCAGGGTCATGCTGGGGGCCAAGCTGAGGTCCGAGGGGCGGCCCTTGTGCTAATGACACAGCCTCTGATGCTCTGGGCATGTCGCTAAGCGGTGTTTTTGGCTTCTCTAGAAGCTCTGCGTTAGCAAATCGGATCTTCATATCGTCCTCGGAACCAAGGATCCATGTCTGGGATCTAACACATACCTATGGCTTCATGGCTAGCTACTGCGGGGTTTGTCGGAGCCACCTAGGCTTCTCTTGTCAGCATCCTGATCGCCATAGAGCATCTGCGCGTCACAAATGAGCGCCCGGGATACATATAAGTGTTCTCATACCTCCGTCTGCATCTGTTCCTGTTGTGGAATATCATCGTCCTCCCCGTCGCTGCTACTGGCGTAGCCAACGAGTCCTGCCATTGCGATGGCGTTGTGTGGGATGAGAAACGGTAGTATAAGTAATACCGCGGCCGGCAGTGTCAGCAGAATAGTTGTTTATGAGCACTTGATCTGAACTACGGTCCCTTGGGGGAAAACGCGAGACGCGATCAGAGAGGTAGGTGAACAGGAGAGTCACGTGGGAGCAGACTGGGGCGAGAGTCTGGGCGGGAGAGTACGGAAAATTCGCTGCCTCAGGCATCACGTGCGGGCGGCGTCACAGGCACCACCAGGGAGGCAGCACCTGGACGCGAAGCTGGGGGGAGCTCCAGCTCGATTCCGACAGCAAGCCCGACCCCTGCCAGCCTCTGAAGCCAACCGCCGCAGCACGACAACACAGCACATCCCACCACAACCCGGCCGAGCACCTTTTCCGCACCCACGAAACCCATCGCGACGCTATTGTCCAAACGGCCGAGCAGAACCCAATTCCAGAGCCTCTCGCGCCAGCAGCAAATATGGATCACCGACCGCAAGCCTGGGGCCGTGTTCGTCAACTCCCCCCCAAGCCCGCCGCCGCAGGAAAGAAACCCTTGCTAACCGTCCCGCAACCCTCAACAACAGCCTAGAGACGACGTTTACGGTGCCTACGATGCCTCACATCTCCACACCGCCGGCGCAAAGCAGGCGACCCAGGCCCCCGTTGTCACGGGTACCTCGGTCATCGGGCTGAAGTTTAAGGACGGTGTCGTTATAGCAGCCGACAACCTGGGTACGTCTCCCCGCTCGCTATCAGGGCCGCCATGTAGCCCGGCACGGCCGGTGCCGGTGCCGCACTCGGCGCCTTTCCCCGACCGTCCCCGTTGCCGCTCGAGCTGACCTCCATGGCCTCCCGCCCTCTCTCCCCCACCTCGTGCAGCTTCCTACGGCTCGCTCGCCCGCTTCACCTCGACGCACCGCCTCCGCTCCTTCGCCAACTCGTCGGTCGTCGGCTTCGGCGGCGACGTTTCCGACATGCAGTACCTGGACCGGCACCTGATGGAGCTCGCCATCGACGAGGCCTACGCCAACCCGCCCGACTCGTCCTTGCCCGAGGCCGCCGGCGAGGGCGACGACGAGGGCAGGACGACGGCCGCCGAGGAGCGCAAGAACGGCCTCAATGCCGCCAACCTGCACAAGTACCTCTCCAAGCTCCTCTACGGCCGCCGCAACAAGTTCGACCCGCTCTGGAACCAGATCCTGGTGGCCGGCCTCGACGCCGACGACGCCCCCTTCCTGGCCAGCGCCGACCTGCGCGGCACCGTCTTCAGCGCCCCGGCCCTGGCCAGCGGCTACGGCTCCATGCTCGCCATACCCATCATGCGCAAGGTGGCGGCCACCGAGGAGGATGCCGCCTCCCTGGCGCGCGACGAGGCCGTCGCGGTCGTGCGCGAGTGCATGAAGGTGCTCTTCTACCGCGACGCCCGCAGCCACGACAGCTACTCGCTCGCCGTCGTCACAAAGGCCGGCGTCGAGCTGAGCACCGAGGAGAGGCTGCAGGACCAGAGCTGGGCCTTTGCCGACCGGATCAAGGGCTACGGAACACAGACCGTCTAAGCCCCCGTCTCGGGGCCCAGGAGGCAACGTGATGGGAGCGACTACTGTCTTGTTGAACCTGGGAGGCTGGGCTGTGCTGGGCTGCCGGACTGATAGAGGAGGTACATGGATCATGGGACGATATATCACGGCTAGCTCAGTCTCAATGGAGACCGCCGCAGGGCAAGACTCTACCTCGCAATGGTCGATAGCGATCAACTTCCTGTACTTCAATCCTGTACTTCTAGCCATGTGCCTAGGTAGGCAGGAAAGAGGATTCCCACCTGTCTCATTGACTAGAGATGCGCAGCAGTTCCTCCTGGGTAATGAATGGGTTTCCACACAATGTTCAGGGCCAACAACCCAACTAAGAACAGACACAAGACTCATCGTGACAATCGTACCATATTACTATCTATCTACCCAGGGTGGTGGGGATATAGTAGAAGATGGGTTTTTGACCAAGCAGCTCGCCCAGATATGACAGATTCGTCTGTCTGCCCTGAGCCTTTTGCAGTCGCGAAATCCGGCGACAAAAATCCACAGCGCCAATCCCCGACGTTGAATGTGCTCCAACCGACGTATACCTGAAGTTACGAGGCATGCGCCATTGCCTCCAGGATCTATGCCGTGTACCTCATGACTCATAACCCACAATAAAACAACACAAAGACAAGAGTAGAAACGATGGCCCCATCAAAAGATTATCATGACCACCCGACCACCGGGGACGCCTTACTCGACCGTAACCGACTTGGCTAGGTTGCGGGGGAAATCGACGTTCAGGCCCTCCATGACGGCGAGCCAGTACGCGATGAGTTGCAGGGGGATGACGTTGAGGATACCCTGGAGAGCATCAACCGTCTTCGGGATCTCGATCTTCTCCGCCTGGGTGTCGGCCTGGAACTCCTCATCGCCCGGGTTGCAGATGACGATGGGGCGGCCACCGCGAGCAGCGACTGTGTGTAAAAATCGTGGTTAGCAACATGATGTGGACATATGGGCTTGCCTGTAACAAGTAGCAAAACATACCTTGCTGGTACGCGTTGAGAGACTTCTTGAAGATGTCGTCGCGCGTCAGGATCATGATGATGGGAAGGTTCTCGTCAACAAGTGCCAAGACACCGTGCTTGAGCTCGCCCGACATGACGGCCTCGCAGTGCAGGTACGAGATTTCCTTGATCTTCAGAGCACCCTCGAGGGCGGTGGAGAACTGGGAGCCACGACCGAGCAGCAGGAGCGACTTCTGGTTCTTGAAGGTCTTGGAGCACAGCTCCTTGATGGACTGGTCCTGCTTGAGCACCTCCTTGATCTGGTCCGAGATCTTGGAGAGGCCGTCCATGATCTCCTCGCGGCGCTCCTTCTTGCTGGCGCGGTCCTCGCTAAGGGACAGAGCAAACATGACCATGGCGATGAACTGCGAGGTGTAGGCCTTGGTGGACGCAACACCAATCTCGGGGCCGGCGTTGACGTGAACACCGCAGTGGGTCAAGAGGGAGATGGACGACCCCACGACATTAACGATACCGACCGTCAGCGCTCCCCTCTCGAGGCAGTAGCGCAGTGCCATGAGCGAGTCGGCCGTCTCTCCCGACTGGGACACGAAAACGCATGTGTCATCGCGGAACACAGGCGCCTGGCGATCCAGGAAGTCGGACGCGAGCTCAACGGCGATCGGGATCTCGGCAAGCTCCTCGAAGATACCGCGAACGGCCATGCAGCTATGGTACGACGTACCGCAGGCGATGAAGATGATGCGCCTGCAACGGCGGATGGTGCTGATGTAGGAGCGAAGTCCACCGAGCGTCACCTTCTTGTTCTCGATGTCGATGCGGCCGCGCATGGTGTTGACGACGGACTCGGGCTGCTCGAAGATCTCCTTCTGCATGAAGTGATCGAACTTGCCCTTCATGATCTCCTGAAGCTCCAGCTCAAGAGTCTGGATGGTGCGCACGTTGGAGCTGCCGTCCGCCTTCTTCAGGCGGTGGATGTTGAGGGAGCCCTCGTGGATATGGGCAATGTCATCGTCCTCGAGGTACATGACCTTCTTTGTGTGCTCGACAATGGCGGACGGGTCCGAGGACAGGAAGAACTCGGTCGGCATGGGGAGGCCATCGTCCGTCATGAAGGCGCGCGACTGCGAGCGGTGCAGCAGCGACTTGTCAGGGGCGGCAAGGCCACCAGCGGCCGAGGCGGGAGTGAGCAGAGAGCTGCCTAGGCCGGCCTTCTTGAGGGCCACATTCTGTGACGCAGTCTCGGCAGGGAGCGGGCTGTTCTCGTCGGCATACTCGACGTCGACAAAGTCGACCTTCATGCGCCTCGAGGTCTTGACGCCAATGACAAGGGGCGAGCCCTTGCGGGCGGCAATGACCTCGTGGGGGTAGTGGACCGACTTGATGAGAAGACCGTAGGCACCCTCGAGCTCGTGGATGACGGCCTTGGCCAGATCAGTGAAGCCCAGCTTGGGGTGCTTGTCGTAAAGGTACTTGGCCAGCTTGGCGATGCACTCCGTGTCTGTCTCGGTCTCGAACTTGAAACCCTTGCTCTCCAGGAGCATCTTCAGCTCCTTGTAGTTGGTGATGATGCCATTGTGGACGATGGAGAACTCCCAGGTGGGGTCGGACCTGTAATGACGTTGGACGCGGGTTAGTGGTCGGTCTGATGCGAGATTGGTCCTGAAGGATGCAGTATGGGGTGAGATCTCACCTGTGGGGGTGGCAGTTGATGCGCGACGGAGGACCGTGAGTGGCCCAGCGCGTGTGGGCGATACCGGCGTGGGAGTCGAACGTCTTCTCGAAGTCGATGTCGGCCTGGTCGATGAGCTCCTTCAGCTTAGCGACCTTGCCAACCTCCTTGAAGGCGAAGACCTCCTTCTTCTTGTCGCCATCGACCGCAAGACCGGCCGAGTCGTAGCCTCGGTACTCGAGCCTGGACAGACCTGAGGAGGGGGAGAAACCCGGGTTAGCTAGCTGCTTGATAGTCATGCCTGCGTCTTTCTTGCGGGGGTGCAATGAGTGAATGAAGGCTCGGGCGATGCGGCGAGCGGGATTGGCCGGCAGCAGGTGCAGCTCAAGAGGCCGGAACCGCCAGCCAGTCACAAATGCCCGAGACACCGCCTGGAAAAGGGAGGGGATCATACCGTTGACAAGCGTGTCGAGTATAAACTTCCGGTCCTTCTCCACCAGGTAGTTAATGTAGCCGAAAATTCCACTGGACACGAAAAGGTCAAGGTCAGCAACGGGCTTTGGGGTGGGCGTCTTTCCTCCTTGGACTGTAGCCGCTGCCACCGCAAACAAACAGATATGAGGAGCTACCAAAGTCTCCCGAGAGCAGACAGACGCCACTGAGTGTGACTGATGAGTGAGTGGTCGCTACTTACCACATGTTTGCTAAATCTGCAAAGAAGCAGGCGGGGTGGGGGAATTGTCGCGCTCGGCCAGGCGTAGAGAGGAAGAGGAAGAGCGGAGTGTGAGGCGAGAGTGATAGCTCGTACGTGCGACGTTCGGGGGAGAGGCGGCGGTTCGCTCAGTGGGGTGGAGGAAGGGCGAGAGGTGGGGGGGGTATCAGGAAGCAAAAGACGACAATGGAAGAAGCAGGAGGTGGGAGATGGGGAGGGAAGGGACTTCTGGAGCCAGGTAAAACGGGCGATCTTTCTCTTTATGTGGAAGCCTTTCGCGCTGGCCGATGTGGGTGGGATAGCGGGATTGGTGTGGAATGCGGGCCAGGCAAGCTTGCAGCCAGCCTTCACGCAACGCCCGACAGGGGTCTTGGGGTTGGGATGGACTAGCGGGGAGGGGCTGTTTGGGACGACACGGGGTGGGTGGGGTTAATGGTCCAAGTCCGCAGCGGTGGTGGTGGGCTTTGGCTCCAGCCGTGGTCCGCCACCACCGCTTGTTTGTCCCGGCACAGCACTCTGCGGGTTGGACCCCGTCCAGAATGCCGAATTGAGTTGGCAGGTCAAAGGGTACTTCAGCCCAGCGGCCTCACCGACAGATACAAGCGCCATGGGCGGATGGATAGCTTTGGAGCTCTGATCTGAGACCAGCCTCCTCCTCCGCCTTCCCCTCGTCCTCCTGGCTGCGTCTAGGTACTTGGGTACTTACATCCGTTGGGACCGCTCGGCCTGACCTCAGCAGCTGGGGTTCCTATGGAGGCACAGGCACCCAGCAGACAGACAAGCACTGGCCAGGTACCCAATCCGATGACAATACGCGCCCCCCAAATCCCAAGGATCCGCCCAGCCCGGCCGTGCTGGCGGCGGCGTCAACTCAGCTTCCGCCCAGGGAAGCTCCGCTGGTGAACCTCTGTGCATCCCACTGCTGCGGCTATCGTCGTGTCGCCGCCAGCACGCGCTCCACACGCCACATTTTCCCGAGCGGTAATTTGAGTTTTTTTTTCTCTTTGTGATCAGTAGTAGCCTTCCAACGCGCCCTGAACGACGAGCTGAAAGCGGTGAGCTAGAACTTCGCTCCATATCGAGAGCTTATCCCGTCCTCCGTGGCTGAAGGGCCATTGGCACGAGTCTACAAACAGCAAAAAGGCGAGAGGTAAAGTCGGCCTGAGCTCGTTATTTTCCATATCCAGCCCTCCAATGTCACCACCCGGAACTGGATTAAGCGTGTTGGTTATTCATGGCCAAACGACGGGAAAAAACGCATGTGGTTGTTTAACTTCTCCTTGTGACGGATTAGCTCAGCTAAAACAAAGCCGTGATGACGCCGCACCACCCTAAAGTGTTGCCCTATTTGGGTTTGTCTGTTGTTTCGATGCTCACTCATGGATGCCTGTGGAAGCTGTTGCTCTTATCCGCTCCCCCACTCCGTCATCCAGATCAAGTCTCATTTTCATCGCCCCTATGATTCCCTGTTTTCTCGTGTCATCCAATGCCCCAACAAGAGGAGGGAGCCTTCCATGGATGGGGAAACACCTGGACAGGGGGGATGGCGGCTCGCACCCATTTCTGGACACGAGAAAAGACAAAAGCCTGCAGGACTGGGCATGCCTTTTTTCCCCTTTTCTGCCCGCGTTGCTGAGCATCATGACGTTACCTGCGTTCCCTGGTCTCTAGGGTACCATCCGGAGGCCAAAAGTGGGCCTCAGCCCAGGAACCGCGAACTGTGGTGGCACGGGTGGTTGGAACGTGCCCGGGAAGTGGTGTGCAGCAGCAGCCACACAGCCTCCTCTGGCGATGGGGCAGCAGTGGGCAGCCAGCCCGGCCTTGTCGTCGTGGATCATTTAGGGCCAAGAATAGCAACGATGGCCCCCCAATCACGAGAAGACAAGCGAACAAAAAATTTGCCGTGCGCGAGCAGGCCAATTCAATACGCCAGATCTTCCCCTGGCCCGGCATCCAGGTCTGTCGTGCGCCCTGCCAAGCCTAGGTGCTCCCTCACCCCTGCTTTCCCCCGCTCACAGACCCGAAGGGCGCGCAATTATGTGATTTGATTGATGCCGTCGAAAGGTGCAGACACGTCCATGCAAGTAACTCGAGATATCGGGATCAGCTGGGCGAGTTCGGATGACACGGCTTTTTGCGCACAACTCCGGTCCACCAATCGGATCTGTGTCGACTATCCATCTCGGACACCGTGAGTACGAAACATCAGGCAGAGGAGAGCGAGCACCAGTGGCAGCATATGCGCGCCCGAGTGTGACGGCGCGTCCCGACCGACCATCGCATCGGTCGACGATAGGAGATGGTCCTCGGGAGGCAGCCAGGCGGGTGGGGAGGCTGAGTCGCCTGTACCTTGCATGGTGTGTGTCACTGGGATCCATCGGCAGGACATGGGTACATCTCACTCACTCGTTGGACAACTGCCAAGTTCATCAACGCCGCGACCTTGTGTGATGCCGAGGGTCTACCGGTTTTTATACAATATTACAGTTGTGTAATGCTTCTTTGACGCTTCATCCCAGTTTTGTTTGCCTGGGTTGCTTCCGGACCCTGTCCATCCAAAGCCAGCACATCACAGCCTTCAACGTTGGGCTCAGAGTTTCTGGTATTCCAGCTTGCCCTCCAGCTTCTTGGACTCGGCAACCTTTCGGACTGCCTTGTTGAAGTCGTCCTGGTTGACCGCATCGCGGTAGTCCTTGATGGCAAAGAGGCCGCTATGATAGCCAGTTAGCGACCGCAGAATCACAAATGAAAGAATGAGGGTGGGTCTGTGTGAGGAGACATACGCTTCAGTCACGACGTTTCGCAGATCGGCGCCGTTGAGTCCGTCACTCATCTTGACCACGCTCTCAAAGTCGACATCCCCCTCCGTCACCACGCCGGCTGCGTGGATCTTGAGAATTTCTAGACGGCCAACCTCGTTGGGCAGAGGAATCTCGATCTTGCGATCCAGCCGGCCTGCACGGAGAAGAGCAGGGTCCAGTGTGTCAGGGCGGTTGGTCGCCATGATGATCTTGGTCTTGCCCAGGTAGTCGAAGCCGTCCAGTTGATTCAGGAGCTCCATCAATGTCCTCTGAATCTCACGGTCGGCACTAGTTCCCTCAGAGAAGCGTCGGCCGCCGATGGCATCGATCTCGTCCATGAAGATGATGCACGGCTCGTGCTCCTTCGCGTACCCGAACATCTCGCGGATAAGTCGGGCCGACTCGCCGATATACTTGTCCACGATGGCCGAGGACACAACTAGACAGAGGGGTGATAGGCTGTCAGCATTCATAGAATCATCGAGAGTTTGGGGAGAAACGGCACAGGGAGCCGAGCGAGGTACTCCGCCGCCCACGGCACTGACCTTTGAGGAAGTTGGTCTCCAAGCTCGAGGCCACCGCCCTGGCTAGCAGTGTCTTGCCCGTTCCTGGCGGACCATAGAGAAGCACGCCCTTTGGAGGTTTGATGCCGACTCTCAGGAACAGCTCTGGGTTCTTGAGGGGCAGCTCAATCACCTCTCTCAGCTCCCTGATCTGGTCATTAAGGCCACCAATACCAGCGAAGCTGACCTGGCCCGGGTCTTCGAGGGACATGTTGTAGACCAGCGGGTCCACCTCGCGAGGGAGCATCCGCATGATGGTCAGAGTCGTCATGTCGAGCGCCACCCGGGTTCCCTGCTTCAGCTTCGCCTTGTCGACCTTTGACCTGCACCCCACAACATATCTGGGACCAGATGAGGCCTTAACAATGACTGGAGAGGGAGTGGGCGGACGACGGTCAGTTCAGCTCGCATCGACAGAAAACCGGGTGGTTATCTGGGTGGTTATCGGGGCGCGGGCGGGATGGGCTCACATCTCTCGTCGTCCAACTGCTTGAGCACCTCTCCGATAATCTGGCCGACGCTCTGGAGTGCTTTAATGTTCTCCTCCGTCTGGTCGAACTCCTTCTGCAGGCCCTTGATCTCTAACCGCAGGTTCTTCAGCTTGGACTCCCACTCCCGCGACTCGATCAGCTTTGCCTTGTAGGACTCGAGCGCTGCTTGGCGCTCTTGATCGGACATTATGGAGGGGGCGAAGCGGTCGGGTAGGATTCGGGTCGACGGTTGCGCAGAGGCGATTGGATGTGTCGCAGTGCAGGCGTAGATGTGGGCGATGGCGGATGGAAGGCGTTGGCGGTGGGTTGGAGGAGCTCCGGACGTTCCAACGACGCGGAGCTTCTGTTGCCTTGCGCAGGGCTCCAAGGTTTCTGGAGTCCCTGGTGGGGCTGCACGGACCCTCACGGATGAGGTAAGCGAACGGCGACAAGCCGGCGATGTTGCACGTGATCTGGCCCGACGCTTCAAGGACACCAACCTGACCTAGAAGGATGGGTTCGTGGGGCGGATTCTAACGGGGCAGGACACATGTATAATTCACAGCAGTCAACCCTTCGAACTTGGCATAATATTTTCCCCTGCGACAGCTCATCCATGTTGTTGGGGGCCTGGAAGGCGAAAGCGCTCCCGGGGGCCTGGGCGCGTAGCAGACGTACGATGGTGGGGATGGGGTCGCGCCGGTGCAGCCAGTGCAGGATGGTGTTACTGAAAGGAAGTCAACCCCATCGTTGCTGTCCTTGTTCGCCGGCGACTAGATCAGCAGGTCGGCAGCACGACCGTCGAATTGGCCGACGGGGACAGAGCAGAGTAGTGGGAGCGGTTTGGCCTCGTCGACTGGGCGGTCCTACGTCTCAAGCCGCCCACTCATGCGGCCTCGGCAGCTCGCTGGGCACTCTGTCAGTGGTGGCGAGTGGTGCTCTGGTGTGGCCGCTCCGGATCTTGGTCCTTAAGCCTCGACGCCGCCCTTAGAATAACCTGCCCGTCCCTCCCTGGAAAACGAGGGCGGGAATGTGCCTTACGAATCTCTACTCTTCTGGGATCTGTTTACATTGGAATAAACGCTTCATCCAAATTTAACTTGCTTTTCTCACCTCTCTCGCACTATAGGCCCAATATCACACATCAATTTGCACAGTGTAAACGTACAGCGCCTAGGTTAGAGAATGGGTGACTTGTTGGTTGATTGTTGTGGTAGTGGTGATGATATTTGTTGGTCTGTCGACGAGGCTTGGGCGTAGTACAAGCTATGGAGGGAGATAGCGACGGGAGGTGAGAGTAGCAACAGACTGGATGTTACCCTGATTTGCCCAAGTTAGCTGTGCATACAAGTTGAGGGATCGGATCATGTCAATGGATATGGACATGTTTCCGCACCATGCCGCCGGCTCTCGTGAAGGTGATGATGTGTTAAGCAAAAGAAAGGGGGTACGGGGTTTTGAATAGGATTTATTTGAAGTGGCAAGTTGGGGGATGAAGGAATAGGAAACAAACAGATTACTAGGAGCGGTGCGTATACCTGATATATATGCTAGCTAGGTGAATGGGGATATGCTAGGAGCGCCTCCATCTCCATCAACCTTTCCACGGTAACTTGAGAGCGCAGGGTGGAAATTGAGCCGAGCTTGATATGTAAGTAGCCCGGCCTTGCTCGACCTAGGTACGTATAAGTACAAGGCCTAGAACTGTGATGCGTGATTTGGATCTATACTCTTAAAGTCTATGGTGCTCGTGGATAAAAATATAGGACAAGTTATCGGAATGCTGTATGTAACAATCGCAGGTCAACTTTGTGCCAACCAAAAAAACTTGTTAGGAGGCTCACCGCCTTGTGTGGCGAGCTTCCGCGCTGAGCACGAGGTCCAGCCACTGGTAAAAGTGTGTGCGCTGGACACGGTAGTATCATGTTGAGGAAGCATCTGCGGCGAAGGTAGACACGGTGATAGTATTCGGAAGACGGCAGATCCATCTAGTGGCGCCGGTGAGGCCCGTGCACGGATATGTTATGGGTACCTGTTATCCCAGTCCCACAGCGCGCTCCTTTTTTGCGCTTTGAAAGCGCGTTGGAAGTCGTATGTCCTGCCAAAATATTGCTGGGCCAGCAAATGCGATATGCCTGCCATTTTACAACCGGCAAAACCCTTGGGGGGCGCTGAGGTCTGTAGCGTAGATGCTCAAATTGGCGAATTTGTTTTATCTCGTCCCTTTTTTGTTGTTTCGGGACTGTCAAGTGGCAGAAATGTTGGCGAACCGAACCCTATGAGAAAATTCGGTGCATGTAGATCGAGATGGAGGCATCGTCACGGCCCTTTCGGGAACACCCCCATCCGTGGGGCTACCACCTGCGTACATGCTATTCTCGGGACCGCCCTTAGTGGCGCCAAGTGGCAGGGAACGCAGGCGGCTTCCCGGTGGGCGACAGGGGAGGCCAGGGGCACGTCCGGGACCCCTTTCCGTGGGTGTGTGGCTGGCTGGAGCTTGATGTGGTCATCGAGCGATGACGTAGCGCCCATGGGTCCCGGTTCGGCCTTTTTTTATAACGTCGGTTTTCTCTGGCAACAAGAAAAAAACATTCTCATGCTGCAGACATCCTTGCATCGGGATTTCGTTGGTCTTTTATTTCTCCCCAATTAGTCACTGCTAGATTCCAGGGATTCTCCTCTTTCTGCATCTCGACCTACATACAAACCCAACGCCCATCCTCTCAACATCCTCCACGTACTAGGTACTTACAATATCTACCTACCTATCACTTACCTAGGTAGGCACTTACCTAGGTACCTACCTAGGTAAGCAGGTAGTTTGCCCCATCTGCGTTTCTGCCCTAGTATCCTTGAACTTTGCTGAACGCATGACTTCACCGACATCCCCCATCCCAAAACCACATGACCCCTCTGTCTGCAAACCGGATTAAACCCCTCGTCCACCTACTGGAACTGACATACTCACAGTCTCGAGAACTCCCCCCTTCTGGTTGACGTCGCCCCATACAACCCCCCCGATATCGCCAGCCAGCCAGAGTCCGACTACAGCACGTTTTCTCCCTGCCGCTTAGCTACATCCCGATCCTCCCATGATAGCCACGCTGTCTGGGTAAAACCGACACCCGGCGGTTCAGTCCCAAACCCGAAGGCGGCCAACCCGAAAGAACATAGCACAGACCATGACAAGTGAGATAGCGGGGGCGAACTCGCTAGTCAGCCCCAGGTCGAGCATCTCTGGGGCCTCGAGCAATATAAGGAAGGAACGGGGAGCGATCGCGGCTCAGGTCGGTAAATCTTGTGTACACGGGCGTCGGTCTGGTCCGCAATGGGCAACGCGACATACCACACGATAGCGGCTGGAACTCTGGCTCCCACATCTGCTCAGCCCCATGAGTTTAAGTAACTAACCATCGGAGGGCTATTCCATCTCGTTCTCCTAGGCTTGCGACACATGTCGTTCCAGGAAACAACGATGTGATGAACAGAGGCCCAAGTGTGGCACTTGCTACAGATTCAAGCTCGAGTGTCACTACAGGGAGCCACAGCCAACAAAGTCAGTAGAGGAGGCGACTGCACAAAGCATTCGCAAGAAAAGATTCTGTATTATCATAGGCTGCCCCAGTCCCATGTCTTGTCTCGGGCCCGAAACCGACGTAACTGACACCATTACAGGAAAGACAAAACCCTCGTGGAGATCCTTGCCCGCATCAAAAGTCTCGAGGGAAAGTTTGACAGTATGAACACGCAGCATGCCGGCTTTACGACCCCTCTATACGGCCATCTCGTGACCACTCCGGGCTTTCAAACCGCGTCGTTTGCGCGATCCGGCGATCTCTCCGCCATTCCAGCAAGGCTTTCTGGCTCGGACGATAGCGGACCCAGTTCAATCACAATGGCGCCATATACCTACACCTCGTCGGTACACCAAATGCTCAGGTGGCCTGTTGTACAGGGTCTTCTCGAGTCCATCAGCCTGAGCATACCGAGCGTCAGTGCCTCCACGATAGAGTCTGAAGGGGCTACCAGGGCACTCGGCCTGGACAACCCAACCAACCGCCTACCGACAGGGGATGCCGGGGCCGTCACTTATGCCCTCACTACAGTTGGGATCTCGGCGACGGTAAGCTCTCAGTCCACTGGGAGCCCGCTGACGAGTGGATCAATGGAGGATCTGACGAGTGCCTACTTCAATACTTTCTACATGTGTTACCCAATATTGGACCAACAGCACTTCACGACCCAGGTTTTAGGATCGGTCGCGCGGGATGGGTTTACGGACTCGATACAGTCGACTCTCGTCTTCTTGGTGCTTGCTCTTGGAGAGATTGCCATCCTCGGCTTCCATGGACCTCCCGTTTCCGCGTCGGGCAGCCCTCAACCAAGCGGCGTCAAGGGCGGGACGCCGCGACACCCTCCCGGGCTGGCCCTCTTCAACGAAGCGAGGCGTCGGATGGGGTTCAACTTGACGGAATGCTCGCTTGAGGCCGTCCAGGTGTTTGCGCTGGCGGGGTACGTCCATCATATCCCACGTCGAACAGCATTTGCACGAAAATGCCAACCCCTGGTGATCGACAAGCTGACAGGCCAACAGCATGTATTGCGAAGCTTGCTCAAGTCACATGGTAAGTCGGCGTAGACCTACCAACCTGCTCATGGAGCCATGTGACCTGTTAGTGACCTTGTATTGTCGACTTTTTGACTGACCAGGTCCCAAGGAATTCTGGCGGATGACGACGACGGCTTCCCTCGCATGCCACGCCCTGATAACCGGGTAAGCAACTTCTGAGCAGCTCTTGTGCCTTTCCTACCCTCCCCTCACTGACAGTTATGGCGCAGAAACCCATCAGAGTTGAGCTCCCCGCGAGGCACCATGATCAGACGATGCTTCTGGTATTGTTGCATTGTAGAAAAGTGAGCTTCGAAGTGCCCTTGGCAAAGTTTCCGGGAGCCTTGGCTTCGTCGGCTTTTGAAAGGGAGGCACGCAGCTGACTTTGTGAAAGCTATCTTGGAACCGAACTTGGACTTCCTCAAAGCGGCCTGGAGAGCTTAGAGGACGCCGTGGGCCCGCCAGCACTAACGGTTTCGTTCACGCCCGAAAATTTCGTCGGCACGCATTGGCCACTCTCCCAAGAGTACTTGGCCTCGGCAATAGCCTTGCGGCGTCTCTCGTTGGATGCTCACAAAACGCTAGGTAATGAGAAGTGGCGGTTGGGAACTGTAGTATACTCGCAGGCCGGGCTGACAGGGGTTTGTGCAGGCCAACCTTTGAACCAATACGCCTCTGGCGTCGACGCCGAGGCACTGAACCGCACGCTCGAGGAGCTCATCATGAACCTGGAGCAGTGGAAGATGATGGTGCCACCACAGCTGCGCTGGACCGAATCCCGGCCCGAGGAATTCCCCAACCCGGGCGGGCCGCTAGCCCACGCGATGCCGGAGCTCTTGTCCATGGCCATGGCCCCGTCAGGCGTGGCCGACGATGCGCCGCCGTGCCCCCGGGCCATGTTCACGACGGACCTCGCGGCCGAGCCGGCGACGTACCCGTCCAACCTCGACGTGCAGGTGGCGGTGCTCCGGTCGCGCTACTACTACGCCAAGCTCAACATATACCGGCAGCACGTGTTCCGGGTGCTCAACCACCCGGAGCAGATGCGGGCCGAGGACGCGCGCGGGGCGGCCGAGTGCCTCCGGGCGTGCCTCAAGTGGCCCGTCTCCATGTCGCCGACGTCGACGCACAAGCGGCTGGTGCCGTGCCTCTTCTTCTGGACGCAGAACATGCTCGGCATGCTCGTGCTGCTGCACCTGAGCCAGAGCGTGCAGATCCTGTCCACGATCCGGCACACCCTCTGCGGCGAGGGCTTCGAGCGCGAGGCGGGCGAGACCGTCATGCTCTACATTGCGTGGATCCGGGACCTGAAGAGCGTGGACTCGGCGGCCGGGTGGGCCTGGGAGATTGTGAGGGCGATATACAACCTTGAAGAGTGAAGCATGGATATCTGGGGCGTGATGTGGCGTGGCGTGGCGTGGCGTGGTGTGGTGTGGTGCGGCGCCGGGATGATTCGAGCACCCCAAATCTCGACCACCCACACACCCCCAAAGGCCGCCCGCCGCCCCATTGATGAATGTGAATTTGCGGGAAACGACGAGGACCGCCACGTTATGCTATGGGACAAGCATGTTTAGGTTTCGACGAGATTAGCTCTGGGCGGGCAAATGAGGCGAGCTCGGACCATGGAAGCTCCATATGAGTGAGAGAGCAGAAGGAAACAAGGAAAAAAAAAAAAAAAAAAAAATCTCCGTCAAGCATGGGCTGCAACACGTGTGCACCGTTACATCCCCGAGGGGCGGAGAGAGAGCCCCGCGGCTGTGTTCGGAACCCCGGGGGCTTTGGCGATGCGATTTGTCGGCCGGGCCAGCCCACGGAGCCACATGCTACCCAAGCATCAAAGCGACCAGCAGCCGGGCCCGCATGCACAGCGACATGGACACACCGCCAGGAGGAACTGTCACTGACCGACATTTTGTCACAAGAGTCCCCCGAGTGACGAGTGAGGCCCTCTGCGAAGGGGGGAGGGCGTGGAAGAGCTGGGGGCGGGCGGGCTTGTTGACGGGCCGCCCACCCCCCTCCCCCCTCGGGCATGCACGATAGGTGCCCATCCAGATGGATTGGACGGGGACATGGATGCCGTGTATTATAGGTATCGTGCTCGAAAACAAAGCTCGTACGATGGAGGGCGGCGGGAGTCATGATGGCACCATGTAGGGACCAGACGGACGGGACGGCGCCAGAGATGGGATGTGTGCAGTGCGTAGAGGCTACCTATCTGGGCCGGCAGGCAGAGCGGGCGTGGGGATGTTAGCCGCACATGACCTGCCAGAGGGAAACTCCGAGGCCGAGTTCGTCGAGCTTCCTGCTCGGGCCGGGCGTCACGCGCGAGCCAACACAAGCCACCCCTGCGCGCCAAAAGGCCTTCCCTCTCGCCTTCGGAGCTTTGACCAACCGTTGGCCCAGCGCAGGGCCCCCGGCTCCGAAACCGTTCTGTGGGCCACCCCCGACCCAAGAGCTTGTCTCCGGGTCCGCCGCCGAGAGAGCGAGAGGGATACCGAGAGAGCGAGTGAGGGAGAGAGAGAGAGAGAGAGAGGAGGGGATGGGGTAGGAGAAGAAACAAAAGAACCTCGCGCGAGTCATATTTGTCCAGATCCTTTCCACCCGAATGATAAGCACCAAAAAAAAGAAAAGAAAAGAACAGAAAAACAATCCCCCGGGTCCCACTCTCTAGGGGTGGGAGTCCTGGGTTTTTTCCAGAGACGGATGGCAGGTCGGGGAAAATCCTGATTTACGCCAACCCTGGGCAAACACCACCACCACCTCGACGCCCGAGTTTGGGGCGGGGAGGGGTCGTCTTCCGACGTGACGCCGAGAACAAGAAGCCCCCCCGTGCCATTGTGGAGAGTTGAGTTTTGCAGAGTTTATACCACAGATGGCTCGATATATATCACCAGATGCGGATACTGCGGAAGCTAACGCGAAGCAACGCAAATTACGGCAAAGCTACCGAAAGACCAGGCCAATCATGTCTATCTCGCTTCCATTTGGAGTGGCCTTTTTGTGCTGGCAATGACGTGGCTGTGGATGGAGACGCACAGTACATGTACGTGGGGGGTAGGAGGTGGTGCCTTCTTCTGCCTCTTTTGGATTGATGCTGGCTGCTGGCTGCCGCCTGCCCTGCAAACGTATTTTTATCTTCACGCATCTCTTGGTCGATGACTCTCCCCCGTCGACACATTACCTCCTTCGGAAGGTATCAGGTATTTTGCCTCATACGGGTTGCTATGGTAGCCTTTGATCTCACCCCTCGAAACTTTGATATCTACCGAGCTTTGGTTTGTGGGCGGTGTACAAGGTAGTACGCGGTACAGGAAAGTAAACTTTGGGGCTTGGCGCCAGCAAGCTGCCGACGAGCAAGGGTAGAAACACATTCAAGCAAGAGAAAGGTTAGGGAGAAGAGAAAAAAAAAACCTTATGGAGAAACGAGATTGACCGGAGGAAATATGGAGAGGGGACATGTTACACTTGTCCACGGGCGTGCGTCGGTGAAGTGATGCGGGCGATGGGGGGTTGCAGAAAAGAAGGATTTCCTTCCAACAATTCCAATTCCAGGAAGCCAGCTCTCCAACTGGTCTGGGTGTGTCGTAACACACAAAAAAAAAAAATAGAGTTCAGACTTCGATGCCGGCAGTCTCCACCACAAGGGAGGACGCAGCTGCCTTGGGAGTCGTTCGCGGGGCCTGTCGCTCGCTCGCCTTCCAAGGGTGCTGCCCTGCTGGCCAGGGGGTGTGGGTGACGGTGGCCTGGGTCCTTTCCGATGCTGCTGGCGAGGGGCTGGGCCACGGTAGGCACCTACTAGGTAACCACGGCAAGGTGCGCGCCTCAACCCGCCGTCGCCCTCGGCCGACTTGACAGCGGCATAAAAAACCAAAACCAAAAAAAAAAAAAAAAAAAAAAAAAACCGGCTCGCGGGCTGCAGGAAGGGTGGGGAGTGTGGTGGTGGTTGAGCTCGCCCGGCGGTGGTCGGTCAACCACCGACACCGGTGAACGACGGCGGCGACGACGACGGGGATGGGGGCAGGGGGAGGAGGAGGGGTGGTGGGAACGGGATCCATGGGATTGGATGGATGGGACAAAGAGCTGCTTGCTCCCCGTCTCCAGCGGCGGCCTCGCACGTGTCTGTCCGTCCCTACGTTTTGGCACGCAACGCACACACACGCAACGCGCGGGGCGGGTGGCATCTGTGCATGACGCTGGGCCCTTGCCGTGGGGTGTCCCGGCAAAACGGTCCTATAATTGATGTCTCGTGGCCTGGCCTTTCCTTCGCTGGCTTCAAGAGCCTCGGGGGGGTGCGACGCTTAGGCTGCAGGAACGAGGGCGTGCGTTTGCTTCAACGCCCGTCCGTGATGCATGTGCGTTTTACTGTAATTTTTTTTATTTTTTTTTATCTCGTTTTGTGTTTTTGGTTTGGCTGCTGCAGTAGCCTTTTTCTCCTTTTGTTCCTTTTGCTCCTTTGCCTTGCGACAACTAACTAACCCCTGCCACTACCCGCCTAATTTCGAAAGACTCGGCTATCGTGTTTTAACCTCCACGTATTATTTTACTAAGAAGAAAAAGAAGCAAAAATCCATTTGAAAAGCTTGGGCAAGATCCGCTCGGACAACGGCTACCAAGTCAAGAAGGCAAAGATGATGATCACCGTCCCTATTTTCAGTTCACGCCGCCTGCGAGCCGAAGGGGTCCACCTTCCCTTTCCTCGCTACCGCTTTCTCGTTTACGTCATGGCGTTGTTGCTCTGACGGGCCAGGGCCCTGGGTGCTGCTGCTGCTGCTGCTGATCACGACCAAAGTTTCGCTTCTCGTCCGAGCCATGGTTTGGCGGCATGTCGAAGAAGCTGCCAATGTTCGATCGCCATGCGCATAACAGCCGGACGCGCTTCTACTACTACTACTGCTGCCGCTGCTGCGCAGGAGAACCTGCATATGTAGGTATTTCCTCGGGCATCCGACATTATGGGGAGCTGAGCAAGCATTGTCCAGCGGGAACGGCCCTCGTGCGCGTATCAGTGGGAAAATCTTGGTGCTGCTGCTGCTGCTGCTGCTGTTGCTGCTGCGGCCTGCCATCCGTTCAGAGTGGTGCTCGGGCCCCCTCCTCCCTCTTGGACGGACCTTACCCGGCCACGCCAAAGCTCCAGGGATCATGAAATTCACTTGGTTGTCTTTTCGGCCTGGGCATTCTTTTTGCTGTTCCTTTCTTTTGTGCGTTTGGTTATCTACTTAACCCAACCTACATTAGGTTCGTTGTCTTTTGACACCAGCCAAGCAAATCTATCTCCCACACCCTCCTCGCCAGTTCGCTGCATGTTATGTGTTCTTACGCATTACTTTGCTCGCTTTATCAACAGCAAGCCCCGGCTGGCCCGAAACCTTTCTCTCTGCCTATCGTATAAGGGGCTGGGTACTAGCTAGTCTAGGTGATAGAGTTTACAATTTGGCTGGGCCACGTCCCCCGCCCAGCTGAGCTCATCCACTGAAGCGGTGGTGGGGGCTGCGCTGCCTGGAGTACCATGGTGGAGAAGAAGACGGTCGCGGCAACGGGAATCCTGGGCCGGCTAGACAGCCGGGCACCTTGGTGCCTGTGGCGTGTGTACGGGGTGTGTTGGCCAGAATGCATGGCGCGGGTTGCCTGTTGTCTCCTCTGGCCGCCCGCGGTCCGGCTTCAGCTGAGCCTATCGCGGGCATCCCATCTACATGTTTCCCATCCCTGACAGGAAACGGCGATCGGCTAGTCGCTTTTGGGGGCTGTCCCGGCGCGGGAGCTTGCAGCAACTCAATCCATCCACCACATCACGACTCGGGTTGGATCCAATCTTGGCACTCGAGGGCGGTAGACAGCAGCGGCTTCGAGGGGGAGGAAGGGGGAGAGAAGGAGACTGCGAGGCAGCAACCCAACCCACCGGTAGCGACACGGAGCGGCGATTGCGATTTGCAGATCCAAGGGGGACCGACCATCCGGGCAAGGGGGGAACGCCCGAGGAGGAGGGTGTCCATCTGCAGCCCTCAATTTAGTTGGCGCACCTTTGGAAACGACTGGAGTAGAGAGCGTCGAGTGATGAGTGTCGGTGGCCGGGGTTCGAAGCAAGTTAGGCATGCCGAGGTAATACATATCTATGAAAAGCACCCGCGCTCGGCCCGTTACCAAGGCCCTGACGACTAGGGCGGGCTGCGGGTGCGGGTGCGTGCGGTCGGTGCGGGATTCCGAGTGTCAATCTCTCTGGGTGAGAGAGTGGGAGAGTTTAGCAATTGGGCAGAAATGTGGGGGTGACCTGCTCCGGCGCCGCTCGGACCTCGGACCTCAGTCGAAACATGAACTGGCGGTCCAAGGGTCGAGAAAGCTACCTCTAGGCAGGCAAAGCTAAGGCAGGCAAAAGAAAAATAGGGTTTGGTGGTTTGGAACAATTCCACGACGGATAATAGCCCATGCACGTACCTTGGATTGGACGTTGTTTGCGCAGCCGGCCCTGATCCCAAACAGTGTGATGAGCAGCGAAGGTTTCTTCCTCTCTGCTTCTCGTACTCGGTGCGCTGACCCGGTTAATGCCATTTTTTTTTCCTTCATCTTTTCATCTTGTTGCGCGTGCGTGTGTCGACCGAGGAGTGACAACGACAGGCGACCGCGCGGCCACATGGAAGAAGTGGAAGCTCTTGGCAAGCCTGCCCGCGGCGGCGGTTGCTGCATGGAAGAAGGAAGGCCTTGGGTTCCAAAAAGGCATGGGGACCATGGTTCACGGCGAACCCGGCCGAGGTCGGTGCGTGCGCGCGCACTCAACATGGCCGTCTGTCTGGTCCGGACACACCAGGGAGGGAGCACAGGGGGGGGCGCGCCGCCGAATTGGCACTGGCATTGGCATTGGCACTGACAGCACGGGGCGGGTAGCGCTGGCGCTGGGAAGGGGGCCCCCATCCCCTCGCCCTCGGAACAAATGCCCGGCCTGCCATGGACGCATTGAGCCAAAAACTGCGGCGGGAACGAGATGAATGCCAGTGTAACGCAAAATGCCCGGGCGTCGCGCCCGGTTTAGGGCGGTTCGTGAGATGATGAGAGGCAGGAGGAAGCAAATGTTTTTTTTTTGGGCCGTCCGTGGTCCATGGCTGAAATCAATGTGACCTGACCTGAGCCGCGTCCCTGACAGTGCGCCTTGGGTTGAAGCGCATCGACAAGTATGGGCTCGTGTGTGCTGCAGTCGGGTCGATCGAAGTTCAAAGGGCTGGTTGCTGGTTCCAGTTTTCCGTTTAGCCATAGAGCATAAGCTGACGCAGGGCTTGAGCGGCACAGCCAACTGACAATTGCTACCTGCCTCGACTTTCGACTGCTTGCCTGGATCTAATCCCCAATCTATAATCTCTACGTGGCGGCAGCCCTGCTTCCATCCGCGTCGACCTGGTTTCGTGGGTAGCCTCTCTGCCATGTCTCGTTCTTTATCCACATCCCTCACAAGCTCACAGCTCAGCTCACTGAGCCTCGTCCTCCGGCCACACCCCCACCCATTCCAGTCGGACACACGCCCTCCCCTTGTCCTTAGTAAACGCGGGGCAGCATCTCTGCAGGGGAGAGCAGCACGAGAAGGGGGTGTGGAGAAGTGATCGGTTTTCATCGCGCATGACAGGGGAGAGGGGGGTGCATCAAGCAACCATCGCCATCGCAGCAGAGGCAACAGTCTCGGTAAAAGTAAAAAAAAAAAAAGTCTCCCGGCCCCATGGCGTCGTGATTTTGGATTGGACTATGCACAGCCCGACGAGTGGGACATGGTCAAAGTAAATAACAGCCAGGCAAATGCCAGCCCAGGCTTGGGAGTCAAAATGAATATTAGCAAATAATAGTAATAACAATAATAGTAATAATAATAATAATAATAATAAGAACAATAACAATACAAAAACGAGGCTCGATTTGCCTGCCTCACCAGCATATCGATAGCTGCTGTGTGCTCCTAGGGGAGTGTGTGGGTGTGGGCGTGGGGGGCGTGTACAGGACAGGACAGGCAGTGACGACGAGGGAAAAAAACATGGAAGTGAAAGAGCAAAATGAATGCGATCTTGGCGCGGGTCATCACGCACATGGGCTTTGTTGGTCCCCTGCGCATCCTCTTGGTGCTAACGATGCATATGCAGCATCAACCGCTCCCTCCCTGCCTGCCTGCCTCCATCCAAAAATCAACGCCCACTGCAACCGCTACCTTCCTTACCGCCCCGGCAACATGGCCAGACGCCGTGTGTTGGGCTGGCTGGCTGGCTGGCCGGAGGGGAGGGGGGCGTGCGAGAGGCTTGTCGCTGTGACTGTGACGGACACTTGGACGGTGGACCAGGCCAGTATCAGACGATGGTGGTGCTGTCTGTGTGCTCTCTCCCTCCCCTTGGGTCGCCTGCTTGTTGGCCGCTCTGGCCCCTGTTGGGCGGAGAGCTTTGACAGCAGTGGGCGAGCAGCGGCGCCATGCTCAACCCAACCCGGTCCACAAGGCATTGCACCCCGAGCCGCCGCCGCAACACTGACATCGAACGCAAAAAAAAAAAGAGAGGAAAAAAAAAACGGTCCTCCCATTGATTTTTTTTTCGCCCTCCTTCCCTTCCCTAATGAATCAATTTTCGGCTTCTTTTTTCTTCTTTTCCTTTTGCCGTCGGGGCGCTGCTCTCGGACGTGCAAGATCTTTCATCCCACGGCCCTCTTCTTCACTTCTCGTGGCGCGCGCCCCCATCCCTTTTTTCTTCTTTTTTTTCTTTTTTCTTTTCTTTTTTCTTTTCTTTTTTCGGCTTCGTTCCTCCCCTTCCTGCATCAGCCATCGTCTGCTCGGTTCTCTCACTATATCCTATCCAGGCCATATCTGCCCCCTTTATCCGCACCACGGAACCCGCCCCTTGACGTCTTCTCCCGAGACCTCCAAGAACGTCCGTTCTCTCTTCTCTGCCTTGACGACCTGTTTTATTCCCCCACCCCGCCGTTTTTCTTCATCCTCCCCTTTTGGAATCTTTGCGGACCGGGTGGGGTTTTATTTTTCTTTCCTCTTTTTGTATGGCGGGCCTCCACCCCATGCATCCCTGAACCCCTGCAAAAACGAGCAGAGGGGACCACCACCACACCAGCAAGCTCTTGACTTTCCTCCGTACACGCCTCCCCCCAAGTCATCAAGGCGTGTCTCTCTCTGATCGTCTTTGCCAGCAAGGACCCTTGCTCCAACCCACCACGACTGGCTATGGCCTCGCTACCCGCATCTGTGCCTGGATTCCCACTTTAAGAGACAGGGCAATCCTGCACCCACTGTTTTGACTTGTCTCCCGATCGGGAGACTGAGGAGAAAAATAAATTGCAATAAAATCGAGAGTCTGAGAGAGGGAGGGAAAAAAAGAAACGCAAGGACTGCCGACGCTACCGGGCGGGTCCTTCCCTTGTCGACCTGTCTCTCCTCCTCCTCCTCTACTCTCCGACATCCCGGGTGGGCAAGGCAGGGCGTCCCCGGCCTTGCGACCTAACAGCAGTTACGTATATAATCGCGGCATGCTGTCCAGGCTATCCCTGGCTTCAACCTCGCTCCCTTACCTCGACATCAACGACCAGTCGCCTGCTCGCTGCGCTTTATATATCAACACTCTGGCCCCGCCCTCGCTCTGGTCCTGACTCTTCACCACCACCACCATCACCACCACCATCATCATCATCGTCGCCGGCTCCCAACTCATCATCAATACAGACGTCACCAAGGCCACCAAGCACGCCCGCCATCTTCGCCCCTCCCCGCACCGGCAAACATCCTCTTCCAAGATGTGCGATTTCACCAAGAACTACTACATCTACACGACGTGTCTCGACCCCGGAGCCCACTTCTTCCGGACCTCGGTCGACGGCAGCCGCAAGCACTCGTGCCCCAAGGGCCCGCATGAGAGATATATCATGCTCCCCGGCCACTGCCCGCTCTGCTGCGTTTGATGGGATCCCTCGGCGGGTGGCACTCGCATAGCCTTCGCTGCCGGACACACCTTCCGCACAAAAAAAAAAAAAAAGCGCGGCTCCGGATTTTCATTTTTTATGTTTCCCCTTCCTGGGGGGTTTTTTTTCCTTTGGGATGGGGATACGACCTGCATGCCGAGATGCTCCGTGTTGTGGTACCGAGCAGTGGTGAGCTTAGGAACAAGGGGAAAAAATAGGCGGGCGTTTTCCTCTCCTGGCCCGGATAATGGGAAACGGCGGAACCTCGGGGAAGCCCAACCGCATCACACCCAAACTTCCAACGGCCGATCCGTGACGGGGACATGAGAGAATGGGACCTAAGAATGTCCCAGGACGACGCTCTCTCTTTTTCTTTTCCCTCTCACACAAAGTCTCACTCGCTGGCCCGGCGGCTCTTTTACTCTTACACCTCGGCCACGCAACCCAACCTTCTCGGAAGCAGTGGCCCCATGGCCTCCAGCAAACCAAACCGTCGAGCCGCGGAATATAGTC